ATGCTGTGGGTGGGACTATACATTGGTACAGCTCTCTGTGGGCCATTTGCCAAGATCTATTAAAACTGAAAACAAGCCTGTGCCCTCTGACCACACAATTCCATTTCTTTTCCCCAGAGGGGATCTTCCCCAGGGAGATACCAGCATGTGTGCCCAGGGAGCCAGTGCCAAGGATATTAATCATTGGTGCATTGTTGGTTATAGTCAGAGACTGGAAACAACCTAAATATCCAGCAATAGGGGAATGGCTTAAGTAAACTGCAGTATGTGCACAGCATGAAATACTGCACAGCACTGAAAAAAAATGAAATAAATCTATTTTTACATTGTCAAGGCATATTGAGTAAAAAAAGAAAGTTGTAGAATCATTCTGATACTGTTAAGATATTTTTAAAAATCAAAAGCATGTGCTTTAGAGTGTAAGCTATGCTGTTGTAACAGAAATCCTCAAATGAAAAGGCTGAAATGGGGCATCTTCTTACTTTCTCACAAGAGTCCAGAGGGAAGTGTAGTCCAGGGTGAGCGGTATTTCAGTTATCTGTCTATTGCTGCATAAAACAGCAGTAATTGCTTTTTGCTCATGGATTCTGTGAGTCAGGGATTTAGATAGGGCATAGCCTGGATATTTTGCCTGTGTTCTGTGATGCCAGAGACCTTAGCTGGGAAGACTCGAATGGCTAGCAGTAACTCACATGGCTGGGGCTGGAATCATCTGGAGGTTTCTTTACCCCTCTGGTGTCTGAGCTAAAATGACAAGAAGGTTTGTCATTCCAGTTGAGACTATTGATCAGAGTATCTGCCTTTGATTTCTCTGTGTCGTTAGGGTTTCCACACAGCATGGTGACCTCAGGATAGTTGAACTTTTAGGTCTGAGAGTGAGTGTTTCAGCAAATAAGATGGAAGCCATGTGTCCTTACATAACTTTTTTCTCATAAATTGTATTGTGTCACTTTTGTCTTTTTTTTTTGGTGGGGGGGGGTGGTCAAAGCAGCCACAAGCCTGCCTATATTTCAGGGGAGGAAACAGAGACCCCCACCTCTCTATGTGAGGAGTGCTGAAGGATGGGTGATCATGTTTTTAAACAACATTACAGATTGGAAGCTCTGTCACATGAGGGTACCTGGGATCCAAGTTGTTTTGGCTGGGAAATGGACAGTGGACTTTGCCATTTGTATTACATAGCTTCCATCTCTGTTCTCAGTGTAACTGGACCCATTATTGCCATATGCCAGCTAGGGAAAGGGACAGTGGAGGCCAAGTAGTTCCTTATAAAAATGTGGTTCAGAGCTTATACACATCACTTCTGCTTGCATCCCATTGGCTGGCTCTTAGTCACACTGCTACCCCTAGTGCAAGGGAGGCTGGGAAATGTAGCCTGTAGGCCAGCCATATGCCCAGCTATAACTTTGTGGGGTCTCTTGCTAAAATGAAGCAAAGGAGAATAAATGTTAGGGACAATTAGTTTTTGTAACAGTGTATTTTTCATTATATGTGTATACATATTTATGTGTATATAAAAAAATAGGACAGCCTGGCTGGTGTGACTCCGGTAGTTGGAGCACTGTCCTGCAGACTGGAAGGTCACAGGTTTGATCCCAGTCAGGGCACGTGCCTTGGTTGTGGGTTCAGTCCCCAGTAGGGGTTCATATGAGAGGTGGCTGATTGATGTTTCTCTCCCATCAATGTTTTTCTCCCTCCCTTCCCCTTCCTCTACAATGGCATGTCCACAAGTGAGGATAAAATAATAGGTCTACATAGAAATACATAGGTACATAGAATATAGTCTGGAAGAATACATAAGAAAAGGTCTAGAAGAAACTGGTAACTGTGGTTACTTCTGGGAATGGGGGAAAAGGATACAGGTGTGTTCAAAGCTGACTCCAGCTGCAGCTGTAGTGTTTGAATTTTTAACAGTTGTAATGTCTTCATGCTTTACTTTGAAATTAAGTATTAATTCAAACTGAAGAGGGCCTGGTATGCATCTGGCTGCTGGTGTTGCAGCCTGGGTCTTATCTCCCTGTGGTGGCACCCAACCCCAAGGAGTGCCAATTGGTGACATGGCTCTATCTTCCAGGAGCCTCTGTTGGGGTTGCTGGGACGCCTAGTCCAAAGGCCCCACCTTTTTGAAGACTGTAGCCCAGTCAGGGTCTCTCTGCCCGCATCCTCTCCACTCCAGGTCTGGAGGGTTTCCTTGATCACCAGCAGATCCTGGCTGTAAGCAGGGGGCTGTTCTGGCACTGCAGAGTTCAAAAGTGAGGAAAATGCAGCCTGCCTCTCCACAGATTACTTACTAATTACAGATAGAAAGCTGGTCACTGTACAGTGGGGCAAGTGGGTGGACACCACCTTTTCTAAGCTTTAACATTGTCATGGACACTGTGTCTCTCTTGGTGGGAGACACTGAGGACACAGTGTCCCTTTAGTGGCATTCTTACTCAAAATGCGTAACCAAAATCCAAACATAAAGAAACAACAAGCAAACCCATGTGAAGGGACATTCTCCAAAACTAGATGGGACTCCTTTAAAACGTCAATGTTATGAAATGCAAAAGTTGAGGAGCTGTTCTAGACTAGGAGGCTAAAGAGATACAAGCAGTAGTACAAGGCAGGAGACTGAATTGGGTCTAGGATCTGTGGGGAAATTGCCATCAATGGACAGTTAGCAAAATTTGAATTTGGATGGTATTTGAGGTCATGGTATTGTGTTGTATCAAGGTTACATTTTCTGTGTTTGATAACCGTACTGTGGGTATATGAGAATCTCATTGTTCTTAGGAAATGCACAGTGAAATATTTAGGAGTAAAGGACCATGTTGTCTACAGCTAATTTTCAAATGGTTTAGAAAAGGAGTGGGCAAACTTCTGTGGCACAAAAGCCAACTAGTAAGGATTCTAGGCTTTTTAGGCTATGTAGTCTGTGTCACAACTACTCACTCTGCTGTTGTAGTTCCAGAGAGGACACAAACAATATGTAAATTAGTGGGTGTGGTTGTGCTCCAATAAAGCTTACTTATGGATACTGAAATTTCAATTTCATATACTTCCACATGTCATAAAATAGCCTTTTGATATTTTCAACCAAGGAAAAATTGTTTCTTGCTTACTGCCCATACAAAATCACGTGGTTGCGTTTGACTTGTGGGCTATAAATTCCTGGTGCCTGATAACAGACAAAAAACCTGCGCGCGCAATCGCAACCCCACACGCGCACAACCCCCCCCACACACCCCCACCCCATGGTGGGGGGGGAGGGTCGCAGTAAAGCAAACATTGTGCAGTGCTAATGGTGAATCTGGGTGAAGGGTAGAGGGGAGTTCCTTGTACTCTTTTTCTAAAAACAAGACTATTTTTTAGAGAGGGGGAGAGGAGGGAGAAAGAAGGAGAGAGACATGGATGTGGGAGAGAAACATCGATTGGTTGCTCTCACACACCTCCAGCCAGGGGCCTGGGCTTCAACCCAGGCATGTGCCCCGACCAGAAATCTAATTGGCGACCTTTTGGTTTGTGGGAGGATGGCCAACCCACTGAGCCACACCAGTCAGGGCCTTTGTACTCTTATAATCCTTTTGCAAGTTTGAAATTATTCAAAAATAAAAGTTAAATAAAATAGGGACAGAATTTTCCTTTCTGGGGGCCCAGGAAGGAGAGGCTGATGATACTGTTTGAATGCGAGGGGCTGATGCCTCCCGTCTGGGAGCCAAGGGAGACTTGCTCACAGTGTTCTTCAGTGTTGCCCCTAATTGTTATCTGTTCACTTCATTTTCCTCACTTCTCCCTTATCTTCTGACTTAACTTGCATGTTTAGGAACTTGCTTGGCAGGCATGAGAATGTAGGCTCTGGTCTTACCGTTTTACCATATCCTTTTTCTCTCTCTCTGCCAAATAGTACATTTCTCTCCACCAGCCAAGAAAACTTCTCCACCAGCCAAGAAAACAGCTGCTTTAAATACATTCACTGGATTATTGTATTTAATTTCATTGGTTTCTCCAAATTGTTCGCATTTGTCTTAGATTTTTCAAATTCAGAAGGAAGCGTTTGTTTCTCGGCACATGACGTGACTTGGAGGAGGTGTGTGCTGTGGCAGCACCATAGAGAAGTAACCGTGTTCCATTCTCCCAGCTCTGGGGCGCAAAGTCTCTTGTGTTTCCCTTGGCCTTGTGGCTCTGAATGGTTATTTCCAGGAATGAGATACTGAGTTCATTGGAGTGGCTGTGCTGGCGGAAGGGAGGGTTGGCTTTAAGGGAAGAAGTGTGAGCTTGTTTTAGTTGACATAGTAAGAACTCTCTTCATGGCCAGGATCAGAAACCCAACTCAAACTGGCCTCAGTGAAAAGGAATTTATGAATTCCTAAACAAAGAATATTGGATTGCATTACATTCAGACTTGGTTAGATCCAAGGGCCGAAATGAAGCTATGAGAATTCTGTCTTTTACTATGTTTCAATTCTGTCTTCCTGTTTGGCCTCAGTCTTAGGCAGGTTCTCCTCACTCAGCAGCTCCAAGTTACTTGCTACCAGGTTAGCAAACCCAGGAGAAAGAGAGCATCTCTAAACCAGTATTTCCAGCACGGTCCCAAGACTAACTCTTGTTGGCCCATTTAAGCCATGTGTCCGTGTCTGAACCAACCAGTTGCCAGGGGATTGGAAGATACCAGTTGGCCAGGCCTGGATCACATGACCACTCTTGCATGGAGACTGTCAACTCTACTCAAACCATCTGGACTAAGAATTGACGAGAGGTGGTCCCTCAAAGTCATATTTGGTTGCTGTTACCATTAGGAAGGATGGAACCTGGTCAGGAAAGAAAACAGTAGTTCCTTATTAAACAAGGGCATGCCATGCTGCCTTCCTCAGTTCTGGTCCCAGTTTTCTAAGCTAGTTTGTGTCATCTTAGCTGTCAATTTGTGGCCTCTGTAGTCATGTCCCCGGACACAAGCAAGCTATGAAAAATGACCTGTTCATGTTCTCTTGTGCACCCTGCCCGGCTCTTCCATCCCTCAGGAGACTCACAGGATCTATAAGCAGAAGCTGGAGGAGCTGACGGCACTCCAGACTTCCTGCAGCAGCTCTATCAACAAGCAGAAGTTGCGACTGAAGAACCTGAAGCACACGCTCCAGAGGTAGGTGGGGCTGCACTCAAAGCTCCCCTGGTTCTCAGCGTCAGAAACCCAGCTCAAAACTGACTTAGCAGAGAATGGAAATTTTAATGGAAAAAAACAAGGGGTGGCTTCAGGCATCACTGGATCCAGGGGTCAAAGGACATTTTTAGGAATCATTTTTTCCTCTAAATTGTGCATTCCTCTAGGTTGGCTTCACTCTCAGGCTGAGCAACCGAGATGGCCACCAGCAGTGCTAGGCTTATATCCTCCAGCCTTTCTTCCTGTTGGCTTGGCCACCTAACCAGATAAGAACTTGTCTTTCAGCAAAAGCTCTGGGTGCAACCCTCATTGGCTGGAATTGGTCACTTGCCCACCTGTGACCCAGTCACTGAGACTGGTTAGGCAAGATTAGGTCACATGCTCAGTTTATGGGCCTCAGTTTATGGAATGGGATAGCCCTACTTAACCATATGGAGTGGGGAAGGGGATGAGAGGTAGTTCCCCAAAAGGAAGTTGTCATAAGAAGTCTTGCTGAGCAGGTAAACAGTGAGCATCCTTCTCATGGAGGTAAGAGTGCACCCACCAGACCCTCAGGTATGGGGGGTAAGAAGTCTGGCATCCCTGGTGGAGACAAACTTGAGCTCATAACTTCGTTCAGTTCCTGAGGCCAGGACCACATTTCAGTTCCCAGTCCTTGTGCCTTCATGGTTCCAGAAGTGCTCTCATCCCCCATAAGTGAAGGGGTCCAGTGGATGCTCTGGTCCCCCTGTCAGGCAGGGAAAACGAGGCTGTGACCTACCTGGGCTTCCATTCCAGAGTGTGTGGCTCCTGGTTAATTTTTGCCTTCCCTCATGGACAATTTTTGGGAAGGTTATTGATTGTACCCCTAATCTTAGCTGACCATTTTGGAAATGGAGCCCCATTCGTCATAGGGGAAACAGTAGGTGGTTCTATGCAGTGACATCGCCACTCGGAAAAACACATCTTACTGATGGCAGTCCTTGAGATACTTCGATATGTCTAGGGTTTTGCAACATTGGCACTAAAGATAATTCTTGGCTGCTGGGGGCTGTCTCCTGCACCGTAGAAAGTTTAGCAGCATCAGTGGCCTCTACCCATTAGATGCCAGTAAGAGCTTCCAATCTGTCTTGACAGCCAAAAGGTTCCCAGACACTGCCAAGTACCCCCAGCTGAAAACCCCTGGGTTTGAAGGTTGACCCATGAGGTAGGTTCTTACACTGAGGACCCCTACTCCAAGTGTCTGTGACTTGTTTTTCTAGTTTTGAGAGTTAAATATCACCAAAGAGTAACAATTAGACCATGATTAGTTGACTGCTTGTACTTTTAAGTACGTTCCTGTATGCCCTCTGTAATCTTCAGGTTATTCCTTTAGAATACTGAGCAGAACCCCAGTCCTTTTGTGTCCCAGCTTAGTTTGCAAAAGGCATTGACATATAAGTCTTCTCTGTTGTAAGCTTTCCAGTTAGTTGGCTTCCTGTGATTACATCAAAATCATTTGGAAAATAAAAAATATAGGAAGAATAATAATATTGCTAGTAGATTTCCACTGAGCTCATACTGTGTGTTAAGTATCATTCTAAATACTTTAAATTGCATTTACTCACTTGTCCAAATAGTATTGTTGAGGAGGTAGGCTCAGTGTTATTTGTGTCTTATAGATGTGGAAAATAAGGCAGATAAGTTAAAGGACATCCCCAAGGTCACAAGGCTAGCAGAGAGCCAGCATCAAACCCAGAGAGTACAGGTGGAGACCTGAGTTTATAAGATATGTGGAGATGGAAGGGTGGGAGGGCAGTGCCCAGAGCTTCCAGATTCTTACTCCAGTCTGAGTAACACCCCTGCTTCTCCTACACCCACACCTCTGACTCCAGGTACAAGCACCATGCCAGTCGGGAGGAGGCAGAGCTGGTTCAGCAGATAGATGCCAACATCAAGGAACGGCAGAACATCTTCTTTGACATGGAGGCCTACTTGCCCAAGAAGAACGGGTAGGAGCTGGGAACTTACACACACTCCCCACACCCTGCCCCCTGTTGCAGACAGATGCCCAGGCCCAGGACACCTGGTCTGCGTGACTCCCACCTTCCCGTTGGGGCTTGAGGTCGAGGGAGACGGGCAGGAGGGAAGGCAGGAAAGTGAGGGGGAGGCTTCCTCACATGTTTCTTTGTGAACACAACAGTGGCTGTCATTGGTGGGGAGGGCATCAGGAGGGAGCCTTCTAGGGCTAGAAGTGTTTTATTCTTTGATCTGAGTGTTGGTTGCATGGATATAGAAAAATGTATAAACTCATCATGTTGTATCCTTAAGACTTGTGCACTTTTGAAGGTTATGCCTTAAGTTTAAAAACAGCCTGCTTTAAATTGACCTAAATGTTGTACATACGCTTTCACCTTGTTGGCTGGAACGTAGTCACATGCTCACAGTCGCTGCAAGAGAGGCTGGAAATATGGTCTCTAAGCCAGCTAAAATGAGGGGAAATGGATCAGTCGTGACTGTCATGTCTCACAGTCCTCGTGTTCTCTCGTTAATCATTATTCACACTTGATGAGAGGCCCATTGTACTGCTGAGTTTAGCGTCTTACATTTTGCATTGGCCACTCAGTATGTGCTTCGTAAGTGTGAATAGTTTTGGTCGGGGCTGCTGCTGGGGCTCTTAGGGACGTGAAAGCCTCACAGGTCTTTCCTTCCAGGCTCTACTTGAATCTCGTCCTTGGCAACGTAAATGTGACCCTTCTCAGCAACCAGGCCAAGTAAGTGTCCCATACCCCCACCTGGTTATATGGAATCCAGACATTTTGCTCTTTCAGCTCAGGTAAGGTGGGACCAAGCTAGGGTTTTTGCACAAATAAAAAAAAGTTAACAGTTGGTGCTCTGGCTCTTGGTCTTTCTGGCACTCTTCTCCTCGGTGAGCAGACCCCTGGGAAAGGTTTCCTTCCTTCACGAAGTCCATATGCTGGGTGGGCAGGACTGCCAGCTCCCCGTGAGGAATGACTCTGCTCCATTCCACACCTCGTCATACACTTTCCTCCAGGGAAGCAGACAGTGTCCACCCGAAGTCTTTCAGTTTCTGGGAAAACGGAGCCCTGGTGTTTCCACAGCAGCAGTTGGTTGGGGGAGGGGACCCTGTCTCTGCTCCCTGCCCATGCCCCTCACACCCGTAGACCTAAACGGGGCGTCCAGGGACATGGGAAGCTGCACTTCAGTCCTTGTCCCCTAATTAATCATCACCATTCATTTAAGGCCAGGTCTCTCCTTTTCCTTTTTCCTTGTGGAATATGGGTGGCAGTATATCAAGGGTCTGATGGGGCAGGAGTCCTGTCTCCCAGGTGGGATATAGTTATATTACTGTAAATGTAATATATAATTGTAAATATACATAATTGTAAATGTAAATATAACTACTGTAATAGTTATGTGACCTTCCCTGGGCTTGTCTGTTGCCATAGATTTGCCTACAAGGACGAGTATGAGAAGTTCAAGCTCTACCTGACCATCATTCTGCTCCTGGGTGCTGTGGCCTGTCGCTTTGTCCTGCACTACAGGTAGTGCAGCATGGCAGTGCGGGGGACATGCTGGAGGTGGAGAGGGGACCACGGGAGAGGGATCCAGGGTCTGTCCTGCATCCATAGTGTTGGGTGAGGTTAGGTGTAGATAGAGAAGGGCCATTTCTCATGAGAAACAGCAGTCCTGTCCACTCTATGTCTATTCAACAGATATCTACTAAATGGCTGCTGGAGAGGCCTTAGAGTGTCCGAAAGAAAGAGCCCAATTTGGCAGTCATGTAATTGATTGTTATTTGGCCGCAAAAAGAAATGAGGTTCTGATGCTGGCTACAGTGCAGGTGAATCTTGAAAACATCACAGGGTGGGGCAAAAGTAGGTTTACAGTTGTAAGTGTGCAAAACAGTTTATTCTTTTTAAAAAATATTTTAATTAAAAAATTATTGATTTTAGAGGGGAGGGAGGGAGAATAAAGGGAGAGAAACATCAGTGTGAGAAACATTAATCGGCTACTTTCCGAACACTTCCCAACTGGGGACCGAACCTGCAACCCAGGCATATACGCTGACTGAGAATCAAACTGGTGAGCTTTCGGTTTGCAGGATGATGCCCAACCAACTGAGCCACAGTGGCAGAGGCCAAAGTTTATTCTTGTATTATCATTTATTAATTATTGTATTATTTTCCATACAAACAACTGTAAACCTACTTTTGCCCTACCCTATGTGTTAAGTGAAAGACGCTGGTCACAGAAGGTCACATATTGCATGATTCCATTTATGTGAAATGTGAAGAACAGGCAGATCCATAGAGACTGAAAATAGATTAGTGGTTGCCAAGGGCTGAGGGGAGGGGAAAAGAGGACTGACTGTAGATGGGCGTGGGGTTTCTTTTGGAGTGATGAGAATGGTCTGGAATTAGAGAGTAGTGATAGATGCACAACTTTAGGAACATGGAATCAAAAAACCCATCAAATGTATACTTTAAAAGAATGAATCTTACGGTATGTGAATTACTGTATTTTGCCATGTATAATGCGCACCCACGCTTTTAGCCCAAACTTTCAGGGTGGGGGGAATCTTTCATTTTAATTTTTTAATTCAACTTTTTATTTATTTATATTTAAATACTTGTTTTTTTAAAAGAAATTTTAGCATTTATTTTTGAAAATATTATGGTACCAGAAATTTTATGTACCAGTGACAAATTTATATTTATGTATCATTAATACTATGCATGGTAATGTGCACCCTTCTTTTTCCCTAAAAAATTTGGGCAAAAAGTGCGTGTTATACACGGCAAAATACAGGGTGTATCTTAATTACAAAAAGAGAGGAGGGGGGAGAGGGAGAAAGGGAACAAAAAAAAAAAAAGGAAAAAAGAAAGGGAGGAAAGAGAGGGATAGATCATCACACATGGCCTCGGTTTGATCCTGGATTTGAGACTGACTGGCTGTTACCATGGGCAGGTTCCCTTTGGGAGCCTCAGTCTCCCCGTCTGTAAAGCGAGGTGACACCAGTGCTGGCTGCACAAGGTTGCTGTGACAATTCAGTGCGTGAACCCTGTGTGTGCAGGGCTCTGCCCAGTGTGTGGCACCAGGCGGTGCAGCGAGAACATCTGCTGCCGCGGCTGAAGCCATACTGCCCCAGGGGGTTCCCTTTCTCCGTGTGGCCCTGAGTTTTCTGCCCCGGGGGGACGGCCAGGCACAGCTTGGGCATTGGGCCCATGTGTTAAGGGTTTATTTCCTAGCAGGCGCTTGGCTGGGAGTCCACTTGCTGGTCTGGCCACTTGAATGTCTAGACAAAGGCCCTTTTAGACCCTGAGCCCAGGCTTGCCTGCTGCCTCGGACCTGGCCCGTTTCCCTGGAGGGCAAAGGCAGCACCCATCAGTCATGCCTACTCACATGCCCCTCTAGAAGCAGGGAAAAGTCCTTAATGAGCAACCACACTCCCTGCCCTGGGACCTCCGGGGCCCTCAAAGGGCAGACCTGGGGTGTGTCGTCCAGCTCCAAGGTTCACCCAGGGCCTGGATGTTTCCATTTCTCCCCGAACACTCTGTATTCTTTTCTAAGGGATGTTGTAACAAAGCACCACCAATGGGGTGCCTTAAAACAACAGAAGCAGCTTTTCTCACATCTGGAGGCCAGGAATCTGAAATCAGGGTGCCAGCAGGCCCGGCCCCTCTGAAGGCGGGAGTTCTTGCTCGCCTTTTCCAGCTCCTGGTGGTTGCTGGCCGTCCTCGGTGTTCCTTGGCTTAAAGCTCTTTCACTCCAGTCTCTGCCTCATGTGCCTCAGTCTCGCCACGTGGCCTCCTTCCCTGTATGTCCCTGTGTCTCTCTCTCGACCTTCTTATGAGGACACCAGTCATTGGGTTCAGGTCCCACCCCAATTCAGGGTGATCTCATCTTAACTAAGTACATTTATAAAGACCCTAGTTCCAAATAAGGTCCTGTTCTGAGGTCCTTGGTGAATATGAATTTTGGGAGAGGAAACGGTTAAACCCAGTTGGGGGAGTTGAGGGCTGCTCCCAGGGGGGGTTGCTTCCTCCCCGGTCCTCCCCTGCCCCTCACACCGGCATGGGGAACGCAGGGGCCTGAAAAAGCCATCAGGTATGCCAAGAGGAAGTCGCAGGTTCTGGCTTTTGAAGCCCCCGACAGGCATGATGTGTGAGCACACGCACTGCAAGAACCGGTCCCGTAGGGCTGTTGACAGATTTAGAGAGATTGTCCATAAAAAATTCCTACAGCATTGCGAGTTCCCAGTGGTCCGTGCTGGCCCAGTGTGGCAGGCTGACTAATGGGCCCCAGAGATGTGCGTGTTCTGATCCCCGGAACCTGAGAATATCACTTTACAAAGCAAAAGGTCTTTGCAGATGGAGTAAGCTAAGATCTTGAGAAACAGAGATGACCCTGGGCTAAGTGGTGGGTCCCATGTAATCACACACAGATTCATGAGGCAGGGGTCAGACCCATGGAGGGAGGGTGATGACAGAAGCGGAGGTCAGAGCCGTGTGGGGCCACGGTGCAAGGAGAGCGAGCCGCCTCCAGGAGGGTTCTGTCCCCGAGCCTCCGGGAGGGGCACGTGGCCCATTTCAGACACTGACTTCCAGGACTTTTCAGAGAATACATGTACCCCATTGTCAAAGCTGCAGGAAGCTCAGACCCTTTGGCAGAGCAGATTGAGGCTGCACTTCACATGCCTGGGGCCGTAAAACTATTGCTTCTCTTTTTACTGATAAGTTAAAGGAGGGGACCAGTGAAAAATATCCTGGTAACTATGACTTGCTAGTGGGCCTGTCTCTTGCCTGAGCTGAGAAGTCAGTATCTAAGTGACTCTCTACCCTGGGGCCCATCCCGCCCCCCTGTTTCACCTCCAAGTCAAGCAGGCCTTTGATTTTCTCGTGGTTATGTGTCTGAGGCCATTTATCCGACTTGGGGCCCCCTGTGGTGCTTTCAAAATTAAGACAGGGAACATGTGCAGCTCTCCCTAGGCTGCAGGCACTGTTCAAAGCACTTCACTAAATGCAGCTAGTGCTCACAGCAGCCTTCCGGGGGGCGGGGAGCGCGGGGTGCTGTTCCTCTCCCCACTGCACAGGTGGGGATGTGGCTGTGGGGAAGAATCACTACCTTGTCCCTGGTTCTCCAGCTGAGAAGAGGCAGAGTCTGGATTTGGACTCAGGCCCTGGCTATCCAGAATCTGTTCTTGACCTCCTGAGACTGCCTCTGCAGGCCACACTCAGCAGGCTTGGGCTGAGAGTCTATCATCTGTGACCACAAAACAGTCACCTCCCAGTGTCTTCTATTGTTAAAGTTGTGTCTTGCTTCCGTTCCACCCCATTACCCCCAGCCCAGGGCCACTGTAGTCTGGGAGAAGGCTCTCCCAGTTCAGTGACAGACATGGAGGGGGTGGGGTCGTTTCTCGCCCTGTGCCGAAGGTCTCTGTGTGACACTGGGAGGCACCGAGGTGCTCCCTCCTCAGGGTCAAAGACACAGCTTGGTAGAGGTCTTACCAGAAGGACCGGCCATGTGGGGAGCTGGCAGCTCTCTAAGAACTTGTGTGTTGCATGCTCTGGACCCTTCACCCGGGAAAGCTCGCAGAGGGAATCCATCTTCCTCTTTTATAGACGGAAGAGCCGAGGCCGGGCAGGTCTCTGACAGGGTCACACAGAGCGGGCCTGCCCGCCCACTCCCCTGACCAGGGCACTGCACGGCCCCAGCCGCCCCATCTGTCCGCCTTTAAGGTCTGCTCCGGGCTGTGGTCTCTGTGCAGGAGGCAGGAACTTTTTATGTTCTTCTTACAGACAATTCAGGCCATAAGAATTTTTTTGTATGTACAACAAAGTTCGTGGCTGGTTTAAGGAGATGGAGGGAGTTTATACTGGGACAGGCAAATGGCTTAAAATAGCACAGTCGCTTTCCTGCTGCAAGCCCTTCTGTCGCCACCCCACCAGAAATTCCACATTTGGAAGGGAGGCAGGTTGCCGTGGGCTGCGTGGTCAGCGCCGGAGGGAAGACTCAGCCTGAGCCTCCAGGGCCGGTAGGACTCCAGGGGAAAGATGAGGAGGGGGAGGAGCATTCCCAGTGCAGGGACGACCCCTGAGAGGCCAGGCCCGCTCTGCCTTCCCGGGTGTTGGGGGCTCTGGGGTCCCGTCTGGGTGGGCAGCCCCTGGCCTGGCTCGATGTCCTGCTGCAGTGGGGCTGGGACAGCCGTCCGGGTTCTCAAGCCTGCTCCCCGCCTGGGGCTGTTTCTCCACACCAGGGTAACAGACGAAGTCTTCAACTTCCTGCTCGTGTGGTATTACTGCACCCTGACGATTCGGGAGAGTATTCTCATCAGCAATGGCTCAAGGTAATTGGGGGCCCCGCTTGGTGGGGGGCATAGGAGCAGCCAAAGGGAGATCTGTCACAATGAGAAGGCAGGTGAGGGCTGCCCCCTCAGCCTGCATTCCCTTCCTCCTTGGGGGCTTGGGGATGGTTCACACCCAGGGCGGAGGAACACATACCTGCTGCCGCGGCAGCGTCACTTGCTGTGGTCAGTCTCTCATTTACAAGAAACCCTAACTCAGGTGGGCTCAACATAACAAGACATTTACTTTCTCATATCAAGAAACAGATCCTTTGGGACTGATCGTAGGTGAGGCTCAATCCAGGTGCTCAGACAGTGTTGTCAGGATCCAGGTTCTCTCTGTCTCTCACCCCTGCCTTTACTGTGTTGCCTGTTTTCAGGGCCCATGTAGGGGCATCCAGCAGCTCCAAGCTCACGTTTTTATTTCTAGCTTTCCCAGCAAAATAGGACACATTCCTTTCTTCCAAGAGTCTCACTGGGTCTCATTGGCGCTTGTTGGATCATATGCCCATCTCCGAACCAGTCACTGTAGCCAGAGAATACACTGCTGTGATTGGCTGGGCTTGGGCCTCAGGCTCACGCCTATGGCTGTCATTGGAAGCCTAGAAGCTGAGGTTCAGGAGGGGACTGGTTCCACAGAGGAAAATTGAGATACTGTCACTAGAAGGATGAGTGGACTCTGGTGACAAGAGTGTTGGTCCCCCATAGGGAGATGAGAGTCCCGGGACTCAGTTGAGCTCCATGGCTTGCCACTTGCAGGACCCACTTTCAAGAATTCTGATTCCGTTTTAGGGTGGCTAAAAAGGAATTTGAACCTCTGCACACCATTTTTGTTCTTGCCCTTTCCCAAAACAAGAAGTAACAACTTCCCAAACCCTCTCCCCTTTCTTCCTTCTGGAGACTAATAAGGAACAACCAGGAGCATATATTAATTTGGGGCATCTGCCAGACCCCCAAATAATTTGCGGCCTTCTCACTTTTCTGCGCAGTCATCTCTTAGGGCAGATCTCTGCTCTGCTCGGCCTTACCCTGAATGTAGAGCCAAGAGGTAAGGACCAGAGGAACGGCAGTTCTTAGGTACGCAGCCCTGCAGCACGTAGCCTCTTAGAAGAGATCAGTGTTTCTCACACCGCACTCCTTCCTGTCCTGCCTGCGCCATCTTTGCCATGTTCTATACCACCTGGGTGATTATTTTCCTGCATTTCAAATCAACTGTCTCTTTCTTTTTCATAAATAAATATGTACTTTAAAAAGGAAATTTTCTTTCACCATCTTACATGGAAAACCAGCATGAATTGCAGGAAAAAGGAAGTAGTATAAAAATATTTTTTTGTTTTCATTATCTAATTTATTGAAGGCTCTGGGCCTGAGGCCTGCAGACTCTCTCATGTGCGTCCATGTGTAGAGAGGAAGACAAACAGATCTCGAGAGGCAGTTAGGATGTGCTAGCACCTCACCCAGACTCTCTCCTTGACTTAACCAGGAGAACAGAAGAGATCATTGTGTCATCTAGTGTTACACTTGAGTATCATCTAAAACTTGGTGACACATGCCCCATACTTTGGGGAACACTGAAATAGAAAATCTTACCCAATAAATTCATGACTTTCCTTAATTTTAGTGAATAATACCTTCCTGCTTTTGCGTGTGGTTGGAGGGTAGCCAGGATAGCATATAGTGGGGAAATGGGGCCCGGGCCCCACTTGGCAAGGTCTCCTGGTTACTTACTCTTTCTGTACTGTGCACTCACCGTCAGTCTTGAGGTTTCGCCCTCCTGATGGACTCGTGTTAAGAGTGATCGGGGGCCTGCTGTGACTCTAGTGGTCACTAACACTTTAGTAACAGTTACTCTGGTCAGCTCTTTTTCTAGGATGATAAGCTGTGGATGGGGCGGGGTGGGGGGGCGTTTACCAGAGAGAAGGGAGCAGGACTGAGTGCAGCGCCTGCAAGTGTGGGGCACACCAGGAGGATGGGCGGGGACAGCGGCAGGAAGTGGGGTTCCAAAGCTAAAGCTTATTTGCCTAACGCTGTAGCCAGGGCTTTTCTGGAGTCTGCACTCTGCTGGGGACGGCAGGAAGGGCTGTCTCCGAGCTCGTGATGCAGAGCTTTGCGTGTGGGTCCGCTCTGTTCCCTCACCGTCATTCATCACAGCATTCACTGAGTGTCCTGTGGCTGTCAGACACTGAGCCAGGGCCTCCAAGACAGCTCACAGTCGGGCGCCTTCTGGGAGCATTCACGGAGTGTTTTAAGAGACCCATTCATGGCACATGGCATTCAGGAACCTCCTGTTGTAGTTGCACCGTTCCTCAAGGCTGTCCTATCACTCAGGCCGGGCGTAGGGGTTTGAATGTGGTGTTCGTGGGGAGTCCGGAGTGGGAGTGGCAGGCCCTCCTGTCCAGGCACCTCATCTTTTGGAATGACTACGGGAGTAGAGGCCGACTTGGGTGATCAGGCCTTGTGACTGACTCATCCTCAACATCTGTTGGCTCCTTCTCCAGCTGATTTCTCCTGTAAGTGGGCAAGGGAGGCAGATGCCTTGGAGGCTTCCCCTCACACTTGGCCCCTACCAGGGAAGAGCTAAGAACCCAGTAGCTAAGAGAGCATAGTGAGGAAGAGGAGGAGGAGGAGGAGGAAGAGGAAGGGAGGAGGGAGAGGTCCATGTTGGAATGAACTCTACCTTTCTCATCTCTGAAGTGTCCCAGCTCAGGAACTCTGCAATCAGTCAGGGGCCTTGGGGCCACACCAGTGTTCTAAGGACAGGTGGAGCTGAGCCATATGGGCTTCCTAGAGGCTTGGTGCCTGGTTTTGGTCTGACTGAGCCTCTTTGATCCTGTTCCCCATTGCACTTGAGACCTGAATTAGAGGTGTGGTCAGGGAGGCAAGCCTAGAGAGGTGGGGGAGGAGGGGACTCCCCCGTTTTGGGATGGAGCCACCCTTTCTTTGTGTCTGAACCTCCCTTGTGAGAAGTAGCTCCTTAGCTCAGTTAGTGCAATAAGCAAGTCAAAGTCCCTTGCAAATTTTGCAGATGATGGGAAACCACCTGATAGGAGTAACCATGAAAGGGATTTATGGAAGCATATAAATAGTTCGGGGAGGTAAAAAGGGCTCAGTGTGAACGGGTGCCCTCCTCCTGCCTATCCTGCTGTTTCCGGCACGAGCTCCCAGCAGCCCAAGTCAGCATCCCCCTGGATCAGCAATCCCAGAGCTGCTTTCCTTCACAAATCTAGCTATAATCTTGGGGCAGACTGCTGATTGGCTGGGTTTGGGTCACATGCTCATCAATAAGCCAATCACTGTGACTGGAGCAATGCAGAGTCGCGATCTGGGTCATGTGCCCAGGTATATTACTCAGCTCCACCCCACCACTTGGACTCGTGTGGGAGTGAGGTGGTCCCAGATAGAAAGCTGAGGCCTGGAACCAGAATGGGGGTGACTGACAGGCAGGCAAAACAGCAGATGTCTCCTCCAGTTAGTTTTGGGCCAGAGCGAGTAATGAGTCAGGGATTGTATTCACTTTATTGTCTAGCCAGCCCGTGGGCACCTGGCTCCCACAAGCTTTTATAGGGACCGTTCCTGAGATACAGAGGCATAGCGGTGGCAGGCAAGGGAGGGATCCTCAGTGTAGAAGCCATTTCGCCAGCTGCCCGGGTTACCGAACGCGCAGGCTGGGAACGGCCCGGAGATGAACGGTGGCTGCACACGCGCCTTGGCCAGGGTGTCCTGTCGGGGGGCCAGGGCTTTCCTGGGCACGGCCTCCAGATACCAGGACTTGCTGTCCCTGCCTTCTGGCAGGTATGTACCATTCTTCCTGGGGCGTCCGCTGTCTGCTCACGAAAAGGCCACCAGCCCCTGCAGCTTCAGGCTTTGTTTCTGACCAAAACAGGCCCAGACTGCTACTGGGTGCAGGTTTCTTTTTGGGGTGACAAACATGTCCTAAAACTGATTGTGGTTACAGTTGCACAACTCTGAATCTATATATATACTTTTAAAGAATTTATTTGTTTATTTTCAGAGAGAGGAGAAGGGAGAGAGAAAGAGAGGGAGAAAAACACTGATGTATGAGAGGAACATCAGTTGGCTGCCTCTTGCATACCCCCAACTGGGGACCTGGCCTGCAACTGGGATTTGAACTGGTGACCTTTCAGTTTGTAGGCTGGCACTAACCCACTGAGCCACACCGGCCAGGGCTGGGAATCTATATTTTAAATGAGTGAACTCTATGATATTTGAATTACATCTCACAAAAAAATGTTATATAAACACGTGCACACAACCTGCCCAGAGCCCTGGGGTGTGCAGGTGGACGATGGGGCTGGGGAGGAAGGGACTTCTAGCCTCTCTCAGTGCCACTGAGCTGTGTTTATTGGTGGCAGCTGTCATTGCTGGGCTTTGGGAACAGCAGGCTGTGGAAGTAAAGGCTACTGCTCAGCTGAGCTCATCGCCAGAGCCGGAGTCCGCACGTCTGCGCCCGATGGGGAGGGCGTTTCTCAGGAGGGCTCTGGGGAGCAGCACACAGGGGCCGGGGCGTGCCAGGCGCCAAGGCCTTGTGTGCGGCTTTGCAGAGAGAGACCTGGGAAGGTTCCAGTGAGGCTGCTAGGCAGTTCTTCAAGCTAAAAGTCTGAGGATGCAGCCAGCCAGTGTTTTTATCAGAAAATGAGTGCTGGGGGCCTCGTAGACTCTGACAGACAGGACAGGGACGTGAGGGAGAGAAGGAACCAAGAAGCAAATGGACTTCTTTTCTCATCCCATGAACTCACATGGCACCGGCAACCAGCTCCTGTCACCTCTGTGCTGGTGGCATCCAGACCAGCCGTGGCTCTCACCAGCTGTACCTCCTGTATATCACTTCATTTAAGTCACATTTGTTTAGTTCTTGCTGTTTACCTAGTGCTGTGAGCGCTAGGAATAAAGGAAAAGGCCTTGTCCCTCACTATAACCTTTAAGGGTCCCTCACGCCATTGTCTGAACACCAGTGCACATCCAGGACTATTATGGGGCTGCAAAGAGGAGGGATGAGTAAGAGCCAGTCCCTGCTCTGAGGATGTCTGTGTTCTGGCTGGGGGGTTTAGATCTCCCGAACCCACGTGTAAGGACAATGCAGACGGAAACCTCAGTGACACACCAGTTTTCACCCAATAAGTTGGGCAGAAATTTTGAAACTTTGTATCAGGCCTTGGTGACGGTTTGGGGAACCAAATAGTCTCCTCTACTGCCGATGGGAGTGTATATTGGGATGGCAGCTTTGGAGGGTGATTTGACAAGTAACGCACACTCTGAGCCAGCCATCCCACTTCTTGGAGAAACACTGTCATCACACTAGGGGACGTCCACAGGCGTGTCTTGGCAGCACCGAGGATGATAGCGACCACTGAGGAACAACCAAGTACCTCCTGAAATGTCATGTGGCATTTAGGAAGCCAGTGACAGCTCCGTAGGCACTAGCCTAGGAATCCAGACAAGAAAGCCAGTTGCAGGATGATTTTAGTTAAGAAAGTCCAATCCGGTGGTACCTCCCCCAAACCCGAACCAGCAGATCCTTGGGCTCCTCCTTCCTGTGAGCAGCAGTGCCCTGGACCCCATCTCCTTGCTCGGCCCCACCCCAGTCCGAGAGGGAGAGGGAGAGATGGTGAATTCTGGAGGGACATAGCTGGATTACTCCCACGACGCCTCAGGGTTCCAGTCACTGCTGCCCATTCCTGGGGAGGAAGGGCCCTGGCTCCTCCCAGGCTGCCTTTGGCAAAGCACCTCCCTGCCCCATGGTGTTCAGAGAACTGAGCCCCCAGAGAGGGGCTGGGGAAGGCCAGGTAAGGCCTGGGACAAACTCAGGGACTTTAAAGAGTAAAGGTGTTCAGATCCTGCATTCCTCCTAGGCTGCCCCTGACACTGAGAGGTGACAACCAGGACCCCAACCCCTCTGCTGTGGAGTGAGGGCCTTGAGCTGGTGGAAGCTGAGTTCTGACAGCAGGGTTCCCCCAGCTTCTGGGCTGGACGAATGAAGTCCGGGGCTGGGCAGGGGCCGGCTGTTGACAGAGCAGGCGAGGCGCCCGGCGCGTGGGGCTCCCAGGGAGCAGCTGTGTCGGGGTGGTGTGCGGGGCCATGCGAGCGGGCCGTCACTCCTGTTCCTGCCCGCGTGATGCAGGCAGCTGCCGCTCTGTGTAAATGTGTGTGTGGCCTGTGTGTATTCAACACACTTCTTGAGCGCCTGCCCTGAGCAGGCACATTGATGAACCAGACCGACAAGATCCCTGCTCTTGTGGAGTTAATGTCTGAGTGGGGGAGGGTGTTCAAAAAACAAATGAGGAAAAAGTGATTTCAGAGTGGTAAGCAGCGTGCAGAAGGGGAAACAGGGTACTGTGATCCAGAGTGGGGCTGTCTGGCTGACTTAGAGGGGTTGGTCAGGGGAGGCCTTGGAGGAGGTGACAGACAAACTTGAATTTGGACCAGGAGCCAGGTAGGCCAAGGTCTGGGAGCAGAGAGAACTGCCAGTACAAAGGCCCTGGTAGTCAGCGGGGGCCACCGTGACGACAGAATACACAGACTGGGCAGCTCAAACAGCAGAAATGTATTTTCTCACAGTTCTGAAGGCTAGAAGTCCAAGACCAAGGGACCAGCAGGGTCGGTTCCTCTGGAGGCCTCCTTGGCTTGGAGACGGTTCCTTTGTCCCCGTGTGGCCTTTTCTCTGCGAGCGCACACACTCCTCGTGTGTCTCCTCTTCTTAGGAGGACACTAGTCCTCTTGGATGGGGGCCCATCCTTGTGACCTCATTCAGCTTTTAAAGGCCCCATCTCCAAGTACTGTCACATGGGGGGGCTAGGGCGTCAATCGGGGTGTGTGGGGGGCACAGTTGAGCCTGTCGCAGGTCCTTGGGTAGGAATGGTTCAAGGAGGACAGGACGGGGGGGTTTGCCGTGGCGGTGAGGTTAGGGCTGTGTCCTCAGCATGGCTAGAAGCTACGGGGGGCACAGGGGCTTCTGTGGGGCCTGTGGCTCGTGGGTAAGTGGTACGTGCGTGGGTGTGCGCCTCTGCAGGGCAGGGAGAAGGGGAAGTGCTGGGGAGCCGGGGGGCGCCTGCCATTCTTTCCCTGCCTGAGCTTCCCCTTTCCTTGTTTTCTCCAAGAATTAAAGGCTGGTGGGTGTCTCACCACTACGTGTCCACATTCCTGTCCGGGGTGATGCTGACCTGGTGAGTGTGTTCTGCCCTGCCCCCCAGCCCCCACTCACCCTCCCCAGGTGGCTGTGAATGGGAACTAGTGGTGAGTAAGGGGGCCCAGATGGCTTTTGAAGGCCTTAGTCTGGGCTTAATTACTTTGTGGCCAAGAAGGAAAGTGTGAGCTTACAGCTGGGCCATTGGGAGCTTTCCTGGGAATGTGCCGTCTGCCCGCTGGCTAGGGCAGAGGTGACAGAGAGCCAGGCTGGACCAAACAGGACAGGGGTGAGGCTGTGGCCCCAAGGAATCTGACAGGGAGTGAGGGGATCCTGTGGGAACTTAGGCTTCAAAACTGCCGGAGCTGCCCTGGTCCTAGAAGGAACTTGCAGCAAAGAGGGCATGACCGGGGTCTGGCCCAGGGGCACTGGTGGTAAAGAAGAGTAGAAAGCGTCAGCTTTGGCTTCATCGTGAAAGTTCCTCTTCCCTCTCGGTTGAACGGACGGGAATGAACGTCTGGTTTCACAGCACACCTCATTCGGCTTTTCCCTTCTCGGCAGGCCTAACGGGCTGATTTATCAGAAGTTCCGCAATCAGTTCCTAGCATTTTCCATCTTTCAGAGTGAGTGTCTCTTGCCTAGATTCAGGGGAGGGGGCACTTGGTCCCCGTGGAGGCCCGTCCCCGTGGAGGCCCGTCCCCGTAGGGGCGTGTCTTTCCTGGAAGGGGGAGGAGACTGGGGGAGGTCCCTGGCCAGCCTGGAGCCTGGGAGGCCAGAAATCTACCCTGGAGCGTTCCGCCCCCAGACCCGCTCCAGCCCCCGGCCCCGCCCCCCGGAGCCGCAGCTTCGGCTCTTGCTTCCCAGGGCCAGACCAACCGAGACCACTGGAGACCCAGGGGTGGTGGGGGCGCTAGCTTTGTTTTCTCAAAGTGGAAACACGTGTTCCGTTTCTCACTTGAGAAGAGCTCTGGGTTTATAGCCTATGCGCTGGTCCCAGGGGTCACCTCCAGGAGCAGGGCGTGTGGATGGTTGGAGACGGAAAGAGTGTTACTTTTCAGTTTATACCTGTTGTTCCCTTTGAATTTTATGCCATGTACGTATTGTCAATTCAAAAAATACACTTAGTTTTTAAATAAAACCCTGTTTACAAACATAAATATGTAAAGCTGAGAATGAAAATTATGTGCAGTCCCACTCTTAGGGGTGATACTGTTAATAGGTCTCCGTCCTTTAACATTTTTATTCACAAATACATACATACACATGTACTGCATTATGTGTAGTCGACAGACATGGGATCCCTTCGTACATGTAGTTCTGCTTATAACCTGGGCTTTTAACAATTACCCCAGACATTTCCCAGGTCAGCACCGGGACCCTGTTGTGCGGAACTGCCTTGCCATCTCGGCCTTGCGCACAGCCCCCAGCAGGGCGCCGCCATGCAGCAAGCGTCTTTCGAGTTCCCTGCTGCATGCCTACGAAGGCCCCAGAAGTTTCTAGTCTAGCTGGGGCTTCGTTGGGTCCTCCGATACCCTGAGCGCTCTTTCTGTTCTGGAGAATCGATTAAGCAGGTTCAAACCAAAGTGAGAGAGAGAGAGAGAGAGAGTGGAAGAGGGTTGTACCCCATCACCCACTGCCCTCTGGGCAGAGAAGACCCCCTCCTTGGGGTGCAGGGGCTGCTCCATCCTCCGGGCACTGTGCTCCCCCTGCAGGCTGTGTCCAGTTCCTGCAGTACTACTACCAGAGGGGCTGCCTCTACCGGCTGCGCGCTCTGGGTGAGAGGAATCACCTGGACCTCACGGTGGGTGAGTAGCAGGCCTGGGGAGCGGAGGGACAAACGTGAGCCCCAGCCCGCTCCCCCAGGCCTCACCCCGCCCCCACAGTAGGAGCATGGGCCAGTAAGGACATAACAAGACCTACCACTCGCAAAGCCAGGCTGCTGGCCTCTGCCCGAGTTGCTTTTCATAATTCGCCGCAGATTCGGCTTCAGCTAAGGGCAGGAGCGGCTCTATGCCCCAGTGCTGGCTTCTCTCATCCTCTTCGTTTTAAAAAAAAAAATTTATTGATTTACAGAGAAAGGAAAGGGGGGGGAGAGAAACATTGATTTTGTTGTCCCACTTATTGATGCATTTATTGGTTGACTCTTGCATGTGTCCTGACCAAGGATCAAACCTTCAAGCTTAACGTATTGGGACTGTGCTTTAACCAACAGAGCTTCCTGGCCAAGGCCTCTCTTATTATTTTTAAATGTCTATTTTTTGTCTGTGCTTTCTAATGTATATAATGTCAGCCTAGTGTTGTTGCACATATAAATATATAAACGTATATATGTCTATACATTGGGAATGTGTGTGTAACTTTTTAACGCATAGGAATAGGTGCCTGATCAGAAGAGCTTGTGGAGACCTTTCATTTAACTTTCAGGGGAAGCCTTTTTATTAAAAAAATTTTTTTATTTAGAGAGTGGGGAAGGGAGGGAGAAAGAGGGGAAGGGAAACATCGATATAAGAGAGGAACATCAATCAGTTGCCTCTTGTATGTGCCCTGACCAGAGCCTGAACCTGCAGCTGAGACATGTACCCCGACTGGGAATCAAACTGGCGACCTTTTGGTTTGTGGGACAATGCCAACTCTGCCACACTGGTCAGGGTGGGGGAAACTACTTTTAATAAATCTTTGCCATCTTTTAAGATGGTCATTTCTATTGAATTGCTCTGCAAAGTAAGCCCTAGTTTGTCAAGATTCACTTGAAATAATGCATTCCAAAGCCCACTGTAAATGCAAATTGAAGAAATTATTAAAAACATAGTGCCTGGCGCATCAGCATTCCGCAAGTGTTGTCAAGCCCACTTAGTCCATGGTGACTTGGGACATGAGGGCAGTCAGGCCTGGTGACAGGCGTTCTGCATGCCCCCTGGGTTATTTCCATAGTGAGCGCTCACGTCCCTGGAAGAGGTGAGGGCGGGTCCCCCGCGCTGTGTGTGTCTGCCTAGCTAATCTCGGTGGCTGGAGTGGCTGAGCGGTGGGCGCCTGGTGGGCCGTGGGAGCTGCTGAATCCCTTCACGTGGGCCCTTGGCTCCCTCCCCCTCTCCACAGAAGGGTTCCAGTCCTGGATGTGGCGGGGGCTCACCTTCCTCTTGCCTTTCCTGTTCTGTGGCCACGTGAGTACCCCTGGAGTTTGTAGATATCCCCAGTTCTGGGCTGACCCCCAGGGACAGAAGGTCTGCAGGCCTTGCCCCCATTCACCAGCCATCCCTGGGCTGGGCCTCCTGGGGTCCTGGGGCTCTGACAGCTGCTGGCTCCAGGGAAGCCAAAGGCACGGGCCAGAACTGGCTCTCAGGCTATGCTGGCTTAGGGTGCCCCAGCTTCATCTGGGAGTTTTCAGTATCTCGGGGCCCCTGGGCAGTTGATACCAGAAGATGGGGGTCCTGGTGCATCTCCTGAGCCCTCCCACCCAGGTGTCCAGGGGAACTGGTGGCTAAGTGGCGCCTACCTCCCCTCCCTGGCAGTTCTGGCAGCTCTACAACGCGGTCACGCTGTTCGAGCTCTCCAGCCACGAGGAATGCAGAGAATGGCAGGTATGGGGCGTGCGTGTGTGCACGTGTGTGGGGGGGGTGTGGAGCTGCGTGTGATGGTGTGTGGTAGCATGTGGTGGGGGTCCTGGGGAAGGCTGGGCTGGCTTGGGGAAAATTCTTTCCTTAGCCACCCCCTGTGCTCTCCTTCATGGGGCCTAGCGCTCTCTGCGCCTGGGAACTGGGAGACGGTGGGAGGGGATTTGGGAGGCTAGGGAGCCCCTCAGTGAGGGCTCCCCGTTGTACATGACCCGGGGCCAAAGGAGGAGCTCCCCAGGACACTGCCTGATCGTGATCTCTGCCTTCCACTGGAAGACCCTGCTTGTGCCGATGGGGTACTGTGGTCCGGGGTGGGGTGGCACTTCAGCGGGGGGCGTGGGTCCAAGCTGGCGCAGCCTTTCCCTCTTCCCCTCTGAATGTGGGTCCCGTCAGGTGTTCGTGTTGGCCCTCACGTTCCTGGTCCTCTTCCTGGGCAATTTCCTGACGACACTCAAAGTCGTGCACACCAAACTGCAGAAGAACAGGAACAAGGCCAAGAAGCCCTGAGCCTTGGGACTGCGCTCTGGAGCCCCCGGACTCTGAGACTGCAGGGCGCCTCAGTTGGCACCCCCGCTGCCGACTTCCTCCCCAGCAGTGCCAGTGGCCACTGGCAGCAGTGACCTCAAGGGCCAGCAGCCTTGTGGGGAGCAGGGCCAAGGCCTGGTCCCCAACTGGACAAGAAGAATGTGACCCCAGCCTGTCCTCACAGTACTAGCGGCCCCACCCTCCTATTTATGACATATTTAATACTGGGTCCTCCTTAGAATCTTCGGCCATCCCCAGCTGCTCTTGGCCAGACTGGGTAGTCTTCCTGGGAGGAGGCTAAGCCTCAGGGAGCCCCTCTGTCCCCACTCCCACCCTTTGAGCCCCTCACGTGGGGTGTGGACATGCCTCCTGGGGTTGGATTTATGACCTGCTACTTACAGGGTCCCAGCGCAGGCTGGAAGGAAGCCCTGGGCGTCCTGTGGCGCCTCCCTCCCCAGGCTCATGCTTCTGCTGTGAGCTCCCGCCTGCTCCCAGCCTCCGTGTCTCTCTGGGGTGGGTATTTAAGTGCTCAGAGAACCACTGTCTGTGCCTTGTGCTCTCTGTGCTTCCTGAGCCCCTGACTGCTGGCCATTTGGGGAGGGTGACCCTCCCTCCTGGAGGCCTGGGGTTCTTTGCCCCAGAAGCAGCTGGGGGTGGGTGGGCCTGAGGTGGGAGGGTTTTCTGAGGATGGCCGCCAGGGGGTGCCCTGGCCCTGCAGTTTGTATGGTTTGAGGGTGTGTTTTGACACTGAAAAGTTCAGCTCTGCTCTTGGAGGCTTTCTGACCCTCACCCCTCACTCAGCCCACCTTCCCAAATTCTTGCAGTGAGGACTCAGGGAGTGAGACCAAGACCCTCAGCTTCAGCCAACACAGAAGTCGCCCAACCTGCATGGCCCTCCCTTCTTAACCTCAGAGGTCTGGAAAGTGTGGAGAGTCTGAACCGCCTCACTTTCAGGAGGCTGCCTAGGGCAGGCCCGCCAGTCCCCTCACAGTCCCCTACGCACGGTAGAGCCAGAGCACGGTAGAGCCAGAGCCGTATTCGTGGAGGGGGAAGGAGCGGGCAGGTTCAGGTGCGTGTTCGGCCCCTTCTCCCACACCCGAGCCTCGGCTGCCCTCCAGGACTTCCCTGCAGACCCTCTGGAACCAGGGTTCACAGCTAGTTTCCACAGCCATGTTTTGGCCCTCAGAGGGATTTACTTTAAAAAAAAAATCTTTTTAAAATACAAAATTCCCTAGAAAAATAGAAAGACCTGGTAGTATTCCCCCAGGGCAGCACCAGGCAGGGCTGAGCTGCCCACTGGGACGGTGCTTGCTTTCTAGTTTGCGACAGACCCACCGCACCTTTTATCTCGGGCCTCCCGTCTGCCCGCTCGGTACTTGGCTTTGCCCTAGACCAGTGACATTTAGCCTTTTTCACCTCACAGCACACAGAAACTACTAAAAATTCTGCAGGACACCAAAAAATAGGTTTTTTCCTGATCCGACAGAAAAATAGGTATAATTTCAGTTCAGTCATACTGGACAGCTGTGGTGTTGGCTGTTGTCATTTTTTTAAAATTGATAATCTAAGGGAAAAGAGGTCAGTGCCCCTGACTAAACAGTCAGGTATTGCATGTTTTAAACATTCTTACAGCACGCCGGCTGAAAATCACTGCCCTAGTGTAGGCATCGCCAGCTTCTCCTGTAAAGGGCCAGATGGTCTGTCACAGCTACTTCAACCTGCAGTTGCAGGGCAAGAGCTGCCCACGCATGGATGAGTGGGTGTGGCCGTCTTCCAATAAAACTTTATTTACAAAAACAGAGTGGCCAGACTTGGCTCACAGGCCATCGTTTGCTGACCTCTGTCCTGAACCCCCATTTGTCCATGAGCCCCTGTATTCTCCTAGAACCAGAGGTCCTTGGTCCAAACACCGTGTTCATTCCCCAGGGTGTGGCAGGGCCTCAGGGAAACTAGGTGGGGTACAGCAGACTTCAGAGGTCTCTCTACCCAGCAGGTGGTTTCAGAGAGGCTCAGACTCAGCGGCCAAAGCGCTGTGCCGGCAGTGGCTGAGGCAGGAGATGCAGACGCCAGAGGGCAGGAGCCACCTGAAGCCATCTTCCTGTCTTAGGTGATGCCAACTTCTGAGCTCGCTCAGGGGCCAAGGGGCGCTCCGTCTCTCGGGTAGTAGAATTACCCGAGGCACTTGTTTAAATGTTCCTGGACCTTCCAGAAGGACGTTTGGTGAATCTGCAGCTGGGCTTGGTCAAGTCCATTCTCAAAGGTGGCCAGGATGACCTTGGCTTTGGCTGAAGTGGTGGCTGTGAGGGGCAGAGGAAGCTTGGTGGCTCTTTCATGAGCCAGCGCTGTCCTTGCACAAACAGAGGCAGTCCGTAGAGAGGAGTGACTTGTCCAAAACCAGGAGCTGATGTCACTCTCTATCTCGAGTTTGTGGCAGTGGGGGGCTATGGGTGAGAGACCCTGAGCAGGGGTAGGGCGGGTGGTCCAGGGTGTTCCTTTTGCTTTCTGAGTTTCTGCTCCCCCTGGTCATGTGTCTAGCTCTGGAAAGATGTCAGCCAAGCCAAAGGTTGCTACTAAAGTCCTCTGAGTGGGGCGGAGGGAGTGGGGTGCGGGTTGCCAGCTCCCATGTCCGGGGCTGTTGCCTGTGTGGTCCTGATAGGCCTGATCCCATCATGGCCGGGAGTTCCCGGGGGAAGGAAGCCAGGGGCTGGGGGATGCAGCTGAGTCTATCTCGTGAGCCCAGGGAGCAGCAGGCTTGGGGGCCCTGGCCAGTTGCTGTGAAGTCCACACTCAACCACACACCAGTGTCTGACGTTTCGAGCACAGGCTTTGAGGACCTGTTGGGTATGCGAAGGGGGATGCGCATGGCTGGGGGAAGGGTGTGAGGAAGACACTCCAGAGTCCTGGGGACAAATGCCAGTTCCAGGGTGCAACGGGACTGAGTCCAGCACCCTCAACTACTGGCTTGCAGGCCACAGCTCCAGAGTTCATGGCCAGAGCGCCAACTGGGAAAGCAGAGAGTTCCAGAATGTCCTAAGAGTCTTGCTGCAGGCTCCAGACAGCAGGCGCTGGAGACGCCCAACTCCACGTGCCCTTGGAGAGCTGGGGCTGGGGCAGCACCCTGCGGGGTGGCCCGGAGATGAGGGCCCGTCAGCCGCGTCCTGGGGGCCACGTGCCCGGCCTGGAGGGGGTCAGAGCAGCAGGCACAGGTGGCGGTGTTTCTGCCGCTGTGCTTTCTTCAGTGCGCTGAGGGCGACCTTGGCGGCCTCTCGGAAGACGTCCTCCACGTTCTCCCGAAATTTGGCTGAGCATTCCAGGTAGAGGGCGGCTCGGATCTGTTCGCAGGCGCTCAGGCCCTGGATGAGGCAGGGGGCAGGGGCCAGTATTAGGTGAGGGGCCTGGGCGTGGGGTTGGGAGCTGGCTTTAGTGGCTTTTGGGGGGTGGGGGGTGAGGCCTTGGTACGGGGCCTCTCTCCTCCATCCCAGGGCCGTCCTCATCAGAGTGGTGGATGGAGCAGGAGGGTCTGTCTGGCATGGCTCTGCTGGGAGAAGCCCCTCCGGCCTCCACCCCACCCGCTCCCCAGCCTCAGGCAGGAACGGGGCTGAATCCTGAGAACCAGGGTTGGCGGTGGTGGCTGTCAGGCCCATGAGCGGAGTTGAAGGCCTCAGGACAACCAGGGTCTCGGACATACCTTTCTCCCTTCTCGAAAACACCGTGTGGGCAACTGAGCTTGCTACTAGAGTAGAAAATGTCTGTCTCTAAAACAAATTTACTTTTATTAATGCTTATTCCCTTTTATTAAACTTGATCGGTTTTCCTTTGTGTCCCATTTTTTCTCCCATGCCTTACCCAGAACGGCCACAGGATTAGGCTTGACCCAGGGTGTTCATGAGTTAGGGGAAGCCCGCTTTCGAACAAGGGCCTGCCCCTCAGGTCCCCTCAGGTAGACAGGACGGGGGGCTGGTTAATGGCCACAAACACAGGAGCCAGAGTGCCTGGGATGGCATATGCGTCAGGTTAGCCGTGTGACCCTGCGTGAGCTGTCTAGCCTTTCTGGCTCCAAACTGATTGCTTGGAAAATGGGAAGCACTAACTGGGCCTGCCTCAGGGCCATAGGGATTAAATAAGGTAAGTAAAGTGCTTGGGCAAGTGGGTTATCAGTATTTTTAAACTGTTATTCTTAGAGCCCTGTTGGCTTCAGCTGTCAGCCGGCCCCAAAGGCACCCCTGCTGCAGAGGCCGAGGGCCTGGGAGACTTGGCCACAGCTATGCGGTCGGGCCTGGGTTGCTGGTGGCCGGGCAGGGGTGGGGAAGGGAGGGCGGGGCCCCGGCCCACCTGCAGGTAGGTGATGGGCTCCAGCTGGGCCGCCCGGAGCTTCCGCAGCTGCTCCTTGTCCTTCCTCAGGTCTGTCTTGCAGCCCACGAGCACCATGGGGGTCCCACGGCAGAAATGTGTGACCTCAGGGGACCACTGTGGAGGGAGAGGCTGGGTGTCAGGACGGGGACTGGATCCATGGTCCTGCCCCGAGGCAGGCTGGCTGGGAGAGGGGCCTCACCTTGATGAGGACGTTGTCATAGCTGGTGGGGTTCATGACATCATAGCAGATGAGCACGAGATGGGTGTTCTGGTAGGACAGGGGTCGCAGCCGGTCATAGTCTTCCTGCCCTGGAATCAGAGCAGCTAGGGGTCAGGGAGGCGCCCCTGCCTTGTCCACCCGAGTCCCTGTCTGGGCTCAGATGGACAAGGGGTTGGGGTGATCTGGATAAGGGATGTGTGTCTAGGCTTCAGTCTCGTCATGTGGAAGACAGGTGTAGTCCTCTGTCCTGGATGGTAGCAAAGATTATGTGAGATAAAACCACAAAGTTCTCTGAGCGGGGCCTGATTACAGGGTTGAAAAGCTGCTGCAACTATGCTGAAGACGACTCTCCCTGACCCCAGCTGCCTCCCTTCCTGCTGTGCTGAGGCTGGAAGTGCAGACTCTGCAGCTACAGCCCCCCTCCCTGAAAATAAGAAAATTCAGTTAAAAGAGGGCACCCACCCCCCGGCCAGGCTGAGAGGTGCATGGTCTCAGGTGGAATTCATCCTGCTGTTCTGGCCAACGCGAAGGGTGGCTGGAGACGACACGCAAGCTCCCCACCCAGACCCAACCCACACAGCGGCGTCACCCCTGCCGCACCTCAGACACAGGCAGAGAGACGTGAACGCTGTGATGCTAGGCCCCCGCCCAGCCAGCACCAACGGAGCGGGAACCCCAGGCTGGGCTGGAGCAGCGGTCGGTTTCGTTTTTCAAAAGAATTTTGTATTTACAATTTCAAGCGTACAGAAAAATTGCTGCAAAGAACGCCCAGAACTCGTTTACTCAGATGCACTGAGCATTTGCTCTTAGCCCCACCGGGATCGTCTAAGCATCAACACTCGGGACCACGTGAGAGGCAAGAGCAGTGTGGGGCTTCTTGGTCCAGGATGCTGCCCTGCGGGTTTTCTAAGGACTTTCTGACAACGGGCGGTCTCACCGATCACAACACAACTGCCAGGCTCAGGAAAGCGGCCTGAAGCTGTGCGCTCCTGCAACCCACTGGTCGAGTTCAGACCTTACCGACCGCTCTCCAGTCCAGCAGCAGGCGCTGCGTGGAGTCCTGCACTTAGACATCGTGCTGGGTAATTTTTGAAAAACTGCCACAGTGAGTGCCGAGAGCCGTTCAGATTGCTTGGCAACCCCCCAGCCACCTCTACAGAAGGGCAAGGTGACTTCCTTCCACTGACCACGGAGCCCCAGTGGGTGCCCTTCACTCCCTCCCTGCCAAAGGCCTCTTGGGACAAGTGGTCTCTCCACTGAGCACAGACAGGCCACATCCTGCTTCTTGCCCCCAACGATGACAGGACAGTCACCCCCTCTCTTCCCACTGGCTTCCCTTCAAACCAGGGACCCCTGACAGCGTGCAGTGCGTGGCTGCCAGAGTTGCGATGGTGGCTGGGCCAGGAGGGCTCCACATTGTCCTTCGGCTGGAGTCCCCACAACACTGGAGAAGGAGAGGAGTGGGCGGAGCCCAGCGCACTTGGGCCCCCTGCCCCCGTCACCTCGAAGCTGGGGAAGCTCTTATAAGACGATGGGGGGGGGGGGGGGGGGGGGGCCCAGCATGCTGTTCCTGCTCGTGCCTTCCCCTTTCTGTGCCCACACTGGCCCCTCTCCTGACCTTGGTCCACATCTTTCTGGGCCTCTCCTTTCTGATAGTGTAGTCTCTAGCCCCATGTGGCTATTAACATGAAAAATCCAGGTCCTCCATTACTCTAGCCACATTTCAAGTGATTAGTTGCCACACAGGGCCAGTGGCTACTGTAACAGCACAGGTATAGTACTTCTCCATCAGCACTGCAGAAAGGCCTATTGCACAGCATGGTGCCACCCTCATCCAAGCCACCAGCGGCCTCCCGGGCCACCTCCCTGGTCCCCCTGCTGCTCAATGACTCCGTTCTCCACTGGGCCCTGGCATGGATCTTAAAGCACAAGTAAAATCCTGCCCCTCTCCTCCCAACAGAAACACCTTCAAGGGCTCCTGATCGCCCTTTGATAAAATCCAAACATCTCCTGAGGTCCACCTGACCTGGGCCCACTGACCTTGACCTCTGCTCCCTCCCTCCACACTCTCCCTCACTGCAGTCCAGCCAATGTAGCTGCCTTGCTGTTCTCAAACCACCAAGCTCTCCTGCCTCTGAGCCTCTGCTCACCTACAACGCTTTCCCCCCGTGTTTTCTCCCCATTTTCTTTTAGCATTTTATTTTTAAACATTCAGATTGGTCATCCACATTATTTCCTTTTGCCTTCTTTCCACGATAACATCACTCTATCCTTTACATATTTTTCAGAGAGCTTTTGCCTGTCAATGATTCAGCAATCATGACTCAAGAAACAACTGCCTGAGACGCTAGTCGAGGGACTTAGGAACACTCCCATTTAAATAAAAAGAAACTGATTTCAGAGACGTGAAGTGCCTTCCCCCTGGTCACTGCATCAGTGACCGAGCCAGGACTCGGCCAACTTACTCGTTCAATTCCAAGTCGAGCATTCCTTCTGCACAACCAACCACGCTCTTGTCTGCTTCTGTGCAAACGTAGGTTCCGGGCCTTTCCGGCGCATGATTGTGGTATAATCCCATGGAGAAATGTGACCAGAGTGGACAAGCAGTTGGAAAAGGGGACCTACTGCATTCCCACGCTTCCATCTTGCCCGGCTCAGAGTGTGCCCCGCCCTGTTTGTTCACACTCTGTACTCCTCCGCGTACTCGTTTACTGCCTGTCTCCTGCGGACTGTAAGCACCCTGAGGGCAGAGGCTATTCTGTCCTTAAAAATTAATTCCTGGGCCCTGACCTGCATGACTCAGTGGTTGGACATGGTCTTGCAAGGTGAGGGGTCACTGGTTCAGTCCTTGGACAGGGCACTTAAGGGAGGCACATCGATGTTTCTTCCCCACTCTCTAAAAATAAAAAAATTAATTCCTGGCACCTGGCAGGCATCCAGTCAAGACTGGCTGGTGGTGGTTTTGAAGCTGTTCACGTGTTGTCAGGCTGAGGAAACCAAGGCTGAGACACGCCATCGGGTTTGCCGGTTACGGCCACCGTGGTTGCCGCTGAGTGGAGAGGGGCTGAAGGAGGAAGTGAGGCCAAGCCGGCTCCCCCCGGACTCCACCCTTGCTGTTACCTCGTCTAGAAGGCTCTTCCCCAGGTAGCAGCATGGCTCAGTCCCTCCTTTCCTTCAGGTGCCTGCGGAAGTGTTACCTCCTCCAAGAGAACTGTTCTGAAACAGCCTCCTTCCCAGTCTGTCCCACGACTGTGGCTTTATTTTTCTTTCTAGCTTGTCTCACTACTTGACGTAGCAGTATTCTCCTGTTTTTTGTTTTCTTGGTCTCCCCCTGACAGACAGGGGCCATCCCTGTGCCACTCACTGGTATCCCCTGGGACCCGGGTGAGCTCAGTTCCGTTTGGTGAGTAGATGAACAAATGAGTGGGTGAATGAAGGGCATTGATTATTGCCATGGCCTTCAGCGTTTGCACTTTCGTCACCTGTGTTCATTTAAGCTGCTGCTCAAGGAGGTAAACTAGGCAGGGAGGGTTTTTCCTGTTAGGAGCCCACGTGGCTGAGGGGGCATTTTTCAAGGTCACAGGCAGGCTTCCTGGGAGCTGGGGCACCAACTCAGTTCCCAAGTCCAAGGTCGGCTGCCGGCGGAGCTGCTCTGAAGGGACCAATTCTCCCTGGAAGCCTTCCCCAGCCTTCCCAATTGGGAATTAACCTCTGGACCTCAGTTTCCTCATCTGTGAAAGGGATGTGTGAGAAGCAGGTGAGCCTTGATGACAATAATAAAAAAAATGGTTAGTGTTGCTCTTCATTGGCCAGGCCCCATTCAAAGCCCTTGACCTGCTCTGACTTATCGTTCCTCACGAAGACCTACACGACGGGGCTGTTACGTTTTACAGATGCAGGCACTGGCGCACAGAGAGGCCGACTGACTTGCTCACGGTCACACAGCTCAGAGGAAGCTCTGTAATGACAGAAGGCCATAAGTAGGACGATTGGGGTGCGTCTCCCTTACTCTACCCCAAAGGACAGGGAGCTGTCCTCACTCGGCAAACCCCAGCCCTGACCAGGTGAAGAAAAGGCTACCAACAAAGGCATCTCAAGAAGAGGGGGATTCTGGAGGGGATGGGCAGCCAGCCAGACCCCAGCTCCTCCTCCAGGTTGCCTTCCTGGCTGGACGGGGCCTGGCTCAGCTTCCCCAGGATTCAGGGCAGGCCGCCTCTCACGGACCAGGCCAGCAGAGTGATGGCAGACTTGTGGGTCCTGTGACCTCATGCCTCCTTGGATGGGGCGGGGTGCCCTAGACACTTGCCCTGTGAGTCAGGAGGGCCAGGCTGCACACAGACTCACCTTCCACGACTGGCACCTTTCCTCTCTGGGCCTCAGTTTCCTTGTCTGGGAGAGGGCGTGACAACCCTGTCCCTTATAGTGAACGTAAAGGCTTGCAGGCTGAGCAAGGCTGGGCAAAGGTGAGGGAAGGCTGCCACAAGTTACTCCTGAGACAGGAACTTCAGAGGAATGGGGTCCTGGAAGGAGGGCTCTAACCCTGGCTCTTTAACACACAAGCTTTATGGGGTTCCCCAGCCACAGTGCAGTATTATTACCTTCCCCATTTACGCACAGTTATGCCAGGGCTTAAAGGGGCCAAGGTGCCTGTCTACGGGCATAGAGGCTTCCTACTCTGGCCTTTGCAGATGGGTTTCAGGTGCTTAAAAAGCCCCAGAGTTCCGTGCGAACGGAGGCATTTGTTTCTGCTGAGGAGGAAGTGAGGAACGTGCCTCCAGACGGTGTTTCCCCTGTGGACAGGCTGCTGCAGTCACCTTCCTGGGGCGGCAGTCTCTAAAACAGAGCTGGATGGAGGAGTAAGGGTGTCATCGAGTCACAGTGGTCCCCAAATCGGCTAGAGGACGTACACAGGGCAGTGGGTCCCAGGCCCGGTCAGGGCGTTGGTTGGGTGGTGGATGCAAGCAGCGTGGGAAGGGGAAGCTGCTGAAAAAGGAACCCACTTTTACTAGTGCCCTGGGGCCCACACCCCTGCGGGGCCTCCCTGGAGACTGGTCTGCTCCGAGGACCCACAGCTTCAGCTCCGCGAGTCTCCAGTGCTCCTGGCTCCTAGACACCCTTTTCGTCCCTGATTCCTTGTCTTAGCAAGTCCTCTGCCCCCAATTTTTCTAGTGTCCCCATCTCAGGCTGGGACAAAAACTACAACTCTCCACTGTCCGAGTCAATTCCCACCTCATCCTGCGAGACCCCAACCCTGGGCCCCACCCCAAGGCCCAGATAGCTCTGTCTTTTGAGTCTCTTGTTGGGACCTTAACATCCCACCTCGCCCCCACCTCCTCCCTGCCCAGGAAACGTCAGACCTCACCACAGCTTCCTGTCTCTGAGGGTGTCGGGGCGGCAGGCAAGGGTGTTGGGGCGGCAGGCGAGGCTCACAGCCCCTGCCTCCCTTTGGCTTTGAGCACCGAGAGCTCCGTCACCCCTCTGTGCACCCTCCACCACTGCATGTGTGCAGCTGCTCCAGCAGGATGGAGCCGAGGAGCCACACTCGCTGCCCACGTGGGCTCCTGTGGCACAGTCCTGGGTATGGGGCAGTTCAGCCATCCCAGAGCCACCCCTGTCCTGGAGCTCTAGTCACCCCTGGCTGGTTGGTAAGACACCACTCTGCACCCTCCCACCTCCCAACCTCCCCACCCCCCGCTGCAGGGTCTACCCTATCATGTTCTAGAATCTTCTACAGCAACCTTTACTAGATGCATCTCCAGCTCCGTCACTCGCTTCGCTGCTTAGTCTCTATCTGGTCACCTGGCCATCCTTTTCCAACACATTCACCAGGTATCTGTCCACCTACAGGCGGAGGCAAGCGCCATCGCCTTTGTCACACAGGGCCTCTCTGGGGCTGACTCTGCCCCTGGATCTCTCCCTCTGTTCCACAAGCCCCTCTGCAGGCCAGGCCCCTGATGTCAGGCACGCTCCCCCAAGAGCAGGACTCCCTGGGGGAGGGAGCAGGCCCCGAGCACCTCTCCCCGAGGCCACTGACAGGCGTCCTGCTGGGAAGGCGGGGGCGGGGGCGGGGCGCCGCGGTGGGGGGGCGGCGCTGGCGCACAGAGCCCACAGGCCATGAACTGCGCTCCAGCCTGAGTGGGAGGGGGGTGGGGGCTCCAAAGTCCCAAGGACCACACTCAGTGAGCTCTGCCCCAGAGCCTGCACCTGTGCTACGTGCTGCCTGTCTCGGGAACCTAATTCAATCTCCCATCTGCAGCCCCTGGTGCAGATGAGGAAAATGAGGCCCAGGTGTCCCCAGTGACACCCAGCCAAGGGAGCTGGCATGAAAGCCCAGGTCTGACTCCAAAGCGTTCGGATGAATGGGATCAGCCGTGTCCAAGTGGTTACGTGATCCTGATGGCTCAGGGGACAGAGTTGCCTCCATCCCCCCTGAAGTAGCTTTTAGAGTAAATCCGTTCTTAAACAAGCTTTCTAGAACCTTCACATGATAACTTATCCTTACATATTCGTTGAGCATCTTTCTCTGAGCGAGACCAGAAAGACCCAAAGTTGTCCCCGCGATGGGTCTGATGGGGGAGGCGGCAAGGGACAGTTAACACGGGGTCTGAGAGGAGTGCCCTGAGGGCAGAGGACCGAGGAGAGAATCCCCCTGGACAGTCCCTGCCCCACCAGGGCTCCACCCAGAATGTGAGGTTCATGGACCTGTCCCTCCCTGGGTCCCAGACAGGAAACACAGGAAACCAAGTGACCCAGACCAGGATTTTTACTGCTCTTGTAGCCCCGCCCTTGGGAATTCCGCAGAAGCCTTTAGGGGGTGGAGGCACATCCCCGTCCTGGGGGCAGCCCTGCAGGGTCCTCACCCAGCAGGTCCATAGAGGCCACGGCAGGGGCAGGTATACCCAAACCGCAGAGCCTGCCAGAAGTCAGGCACAGAGGCGGCATCTGGGCTGGGACAGCGAGCCCCTTTCCTGACGCTCTTCAGGTGGGCTGGGAGATGCTACTGACAGGTGGGTGCGGGGAGGGGTGTGTGGCTTTTGGCTCCATTCATGACCGGTGGGAGACTTCACCTCCTGCGCACAAGGGCTGCTTAAGGAAGGGGCACCCGATGACAGAGTTCCATGCAGGTTACTAAACACTGAGTCACAAAGGCTGGGTGAGGTGCCTGCTGGGGATCCTGAACTTTGCTCCCCGGTGTTTATTCAGCCCAGAGGGGAGCCTGGGCAAGATGGAAACTCCCTGGGGGCCAGCAGCCCCCACGAATGTCACCCGAATCCTCTCACTGGCTGTGGCCCTCCCTCCCATCCCCCAGCAACAGGGGCTGGCGACCGGCGCAGGCAGCGTAAATCCACAAACCCATGAGGAGCTGCAGGTGGCAGCGAGAACCTCATTCCGAGATTCCCTAGAGCTCAGTTCCTTCCTCGGGGCCTGTTTCTCCCAATGAACCCAGAAGGCACAGAAGCCACAGAATCCTACAGCCACAGGCCCCAAGCAGTGGGCGGGCGACAGAGTTCCAGATCGCCCCTGGCAGGCACCCCCTGAGACCCCACAAATGTGGGAATCAAAATTTGCATCCATAGGACCCTGGGGTCTTGGGGCTGTCAGTCCCAGAACCTGGGAGCCACAAGCTCTGATCTGTAGCTCAGAGTATTCTAGAAGAATAGGACCCAGAGATGCAGCGCCGAGGCCCCAAATCTGCCGCTCACAGAATCTGAGGAGCCCACAGCAGGTAACGCATGACATCTCAGCTCCAGGGGAAGTAGAAGGAAGCCCACGATTTTCTAGAACCACAGGAGAGGAACGGAGCCCTCGCTCTCAATACGTCAGCACAGGGTGGTGGCCCAAGAGCTCATCTCATCGAAACACTCTCCTTTTACAGATGGGGTGACTGAGGTCCTCTCTGCCACCAGGCCGCCCTGCCCCCCAGCCACCACCCCTCTCCCTGCTGCCTCCGGAGCGATGGGCTGTCCGGGCTCCTCGGAGGCTGGCGGCCGGGGATGTCCGTAGGGATGTCCGGGCGGGGAAACCCTCCGGGCGGACTCACCGGCGGTGTCGTAGAGGTTCAGGGTCACCTCCTTGCTGCCCACGGTCACGCTGGCTGTGTACTTCTCAAACACGGATGGGGCGTAGTGCTGTGGGGTAAGGGGTAGGGTTGGTTCTTCAGGAGTGCGGCGGAGTCCCAGGGACCCGCTGAAGTCCCCGTTCCTTCCTTCCCTCGCCCCATCCGGCTCAGCCACCCTCACACCGCGAGGCTCTGGAATTCCCGAGGGGCGCCCCGGGGTGGCGGCCGCCTCCCGGCGCGCAGGACGCCGGGGACCCAGGGCCCGGGCTCCGTGCAGGTTGAGGGCTGTCCCTCGCCCCCCGGGGTCCCAATCCCGAGCCCTTTCTCCATCCTGCGCCCTCCAGCGTCCCCGTCCGCGGGCCTCACCTCGGGGAAGGAGCCCTGGCTGTAAACCATGAGCAGTGAAGTCTTGCCGCAGCCGCCGTCGCCCACGATCACGATCTTCAGCTCCTTCCTACCCGGGCCCGGGGCGGCGGTCGGTGCCGGGGTCCCAGAGGTGTCCATAGTACGGAGCCGGTAGACCTGGGAGACCTGGCAGACCTGGCGGCAGGGCGCGCGGAACAGCGCCGGGGCTGATAGCAGGAGGGCGGGGCTAAGGTAAGCCCCGCCCCTGATCCGGACACCGCCTCCGTCAGGCAGGCACTCAGGTCGACCTCCCAGCCTCAGTTTCCTTCCTGTTAGGTTGCCAGCACAGGGCGTTCACCTCTCTTTTGTAGGGAAACTGAGGCGACTGAGAAATAGGACGCTCAGCCGCAAGCACGGCTGCTGACTACTCCCCCTCCTCCCGCTCACCACAGCGCTCCCCCGACTGTCAAGAGCCCATCGTTTCCACCGGCCCTCGCCGGGCACCCCTAATTGGCAGGCTCCGCCTCCTGCCAGAGGCTCTTTGATTGGCTAGTTCGCACAGGGACTCTTCGATTGGCAGACTGTGGCCTCCCCGCCCAGCACCCTGGTTCGTAGAGCCTTGGTTTCGAGCTTTGGGAGAAGCCCCCTAGCTTTGCCCCGCACCACTTGTGGCCTGGGGCAAGTCCGCCTGTGACGTTTCCCCCGAGGTAGGTTGGTGGTGCCAGGGAAGATGCTGGCATGGGGGGAGCTGTCTGCCCACCTGGTCTGGGTCTCCCTGCGCCTGTGTGGGCGCGAGTTGGGGGTGGGGACTAAATGGTTCCGCTTACCTGCCCCCACCGCCCTAGGGGCGCAAGGTGGACTTCTGGCGCCCTCTGCCGGGCGACTGCCTCGGCGCGGGCCGCAAGTGAGCGCCCTGAGCTACGCGCCAGTGGGAAACTCTTTCTAGAAGGGGCGAGAGGCATTAACGGGAGAGTAAGGGGGGGAGGGGGTGGTCAGAGAGCGCTAGCTGAGACCACTTGGGCCCCCTTGCCCATTTTCGACACCGATACCCCTTACCTCCATCCAGAAACTTAAATTAGGTGTTCTCCAGCCAGCAGCCACATCCCAAGGATTCTCCCCAATCCTCCCACCGCCTTGACCAAAGCAGCTAGTTTTAGAGCACTCGCAAGCCAAGTACTATAGAGTCGCTGGCTGCTATCACCTCTGTTCCCATCCCTCCCCTCCTGCGAACCTGGGCTGACTTCCTTTTACAAGCCAGAACCCTGGAGCAGGTGAGGGCAGGCAGGACGCAGGATCTTCTTGTCCCCACCCCACCCGGAAGAGTACCAATTTTCAAGTTCTCAGCAAAGATGAGGTAAACTTGACTTCAAGGGAGGAAATTGCCAACCTGGCAGTTCCATAAATGCCAGGTCAAGGTTTCAGCGGATGCAAGGCACGGTGTGACCACCAGAGGGCAGCAGTGACCACCCGTGAAAGCCCCGAAAGAGCCAGAGCTGGGAAGGAGGTATTGTACCTCAAGACCCAGTTTTGAGGTGGTTGGGTGGAAGCCCTACCCTGTGACCAAACCAGATGTCATCGGCTGGGTCAAGCACCCCTAGAAAAATATACAGCAACTCATTCATTCTTTTTTTTCCAACACAAGTTTATTGAGAGGCAATTGTGTTCCTGCCTGTAAGAAGCTCTGAGAAGGTTGAGAGGTGGTGGAACTAAGCTTGGCAGGGCTGGGAGGGCACGCCAGGTGGGTCCCCAGCCGGGGCACATGCATGGTGGCTGGGGAACCCCAGCAGGATGGCAGGGGCTGGGGAACAAGGAGAGAGGCCAGCTGCTGTTGTCAAGGTAATGGGGGTTAAAGGGCCTGGCTGCCAGGCTCAAGCAGGGCACACGGGACAGAAGGCTCCTGAACAGGCCCCGCCACAGCTGGACCCTCAAGCTCTCTTTGGCGACCACAGAGGAGCTGTGACTGGCTAGTAAGGCAGCCTGAGGTTGGCAGGAGAACAGACCAGGTCCAGAAATTTCAGAAATGACCCCAGGACCACAGGGGGATTGGGGAAGACTGAAGAGGGTTTGGAGCGAAGGGAGGAGGACCACGCACCTTTGTGGCCTTCTCACCTCCGGCCTGGCCTGCTGCAGGGACCCTAAAGCGCAGGGAGGGACTGAGAGAGGGAGGGAGGGGGCCTGCCTAGTCTGGCAGGGGTTGGAGGAAGAGTTCACTTAGAAAGGTCACCCCACTGAGCAAACTAGGTCAGGAGAAACCACAGGAGCCCACGGGGACGGCTCCTGACTATCCTCCAAATCCTCAGACTCGGTTCCCACTTCCCACTTGAGAAATGGGGCTGCAATTTTGACTTTTTTGACAGAACCCCTTCCACAGAGTGGAGAGGAGCAGCAAGGGAGAGCGAGTCTCCCAGCCCTGCCTGGGTCCCGGCAGAACAGCTGACACTGGCCCCAGCCCCCTGCCTGGCCGAGAGGCTGGCAGTACCCCAGGCCCAGGCGGCCTGGAGCGCCTGCGACGGGGACCCAGCTCCAGTGGGGTGTGGGGGCTGGGTCTGTAGCTAAAAATACCCAGCGGCCAGGCCAGCTGCTCCAAGCTCCCTCCGAGGGGGCCGGGCCAGGGCAGGCCAGCTGCGGGGCTGGGCACACCCCCACGCCCGGGGGCCCGGCTTCCTCACCTGCGAGCTGTTCCAGGGACCCATGTCATTCTCCCTCTGGCCACCAGGAATTCCTGGAAAGATTTAGGAAGGCAAGAAAGACACTTTTAAACTGGCCCTTGCCGCAGAGGTGTTGAGACGCAGAAGCCTAGGGGAGCTGGCTGGGTAGCATTTGTGGGGTGAACTCCACAGTGCGGCCACCGTAGCCGGGGAAAGAAAGGCCCACATCCACTTCTGTCTCATCAGGGCAAAGTCTGGTGGCACAGGTCAGGATGGTTAATCACAATGCCTGTGACTTCCACTTCCCTGATGCCTCTGAATGTCCCGAAGAGGTCCCAGCAGAACCTGAGGAGTCCCCCACTCTGAGTGAGGCTGAAGACACTGAACCTGCATAGACTAAACTATTCTCTGAGGTCCCAGAGATGGCAGGTGGCCCCAGGTGGCCTGAGGAGTCACTGCCATACCAAAAGCTTCCCCTCAGAAAGCCAGACCCAGACACGGCTCAAGAGGTTATCTGCCAACTTCCTCCTCCTGGTTCACACGGCAAGACCAGCGCTCAGAGGGGCAGGGACCTGCCAAGGTCATTGGCCAGTTGGAGACAGCAGTGGACCCACACGGCCTTGAGATGGCAGGGCGCCTCTCTCCACAGTCCACGCAGCTGCATCTCCACCCAGAGGGTCCAAAAGGTCATACTCCACACTGGGCCTTTCCGCGGCTGGGCCGGAAGAGGCGGGACCCTGGCGTCCAGTAGTAAGGCAGGTCCGGCCAGCCTGCCGCCCTTCCGCTGGCGTGGCCCTCTCCAGGCAGCCTGGCAGGCTCCGGGCCAGGAGCAGCCCCGCCCATCGCCCCCTGGGTGACCGGTAGGCGGGGCCGCCCTCTGGGCCAGGAGCAATGACAGCCTGCCCCGCCCCTCCCGGCCCCAGGAGGTGATGGGGTGGGGGGACACGAAAAACTGAGAAGGGGCGAAAGAGAAATGGAAGCAGGAAGGAAGAGCTTCCAGGTCGGGTCGTGGGGACGCCTCTCCCGAGAATCACACCCAACACAGTTCAGCAACCTAATTGCTCGCTAATTGGTCCCAGGACAGGAGTGGAAGAACTGGCTGTGGCCCTCCAGGCCACGCAGGCGAGGGGGAGGGTGTAAGTGAATTACGGAACTATCAGCAGCCCACAGCAGGTAAAGACCCCTGCCTCCGGAGCCACAAGGACCCTACCCACGGGGACACGGGGCACGCTGAGGCGGCTGGTTAGGTGGGCCCTGAGGGACTCGAATGGGCACACAGCGGCAGAGCTGTACTGTAACCTGAGGTCTGTGGAAGGAGAGAAGAGGCTCACCAACTTTTACAAAGAGGCGTGGTGGGGTGCGCCCCTCTCGCCCCAGCAAAGGACAAGATGGACCTAACCCGGCTGATCTGGGACAGGAGAGTCCAAGGCAGGGCAGCCAGAAGGAGCCAAGAGCACCACTCGGGTTACTTTCAACCAGACAGCTTTCCCAGCTCCCAGCAGCGCGATGCCAGCAGACAGCTGGCACAGGAGGGCGCCCAAAATAACCCAGACAGCTGGGGCCAGGGGGTGCCACGGACGCAGGCTCTTGGCTCGTGGTCAAGACACCTGGAACCCCATCCTAGCTGCCGGTGGCGGCCTCCATGACCTTGGGTGAGCCATTTACACTGGGGGGGGCCTTTGTGTGACCCTAAATCATGAATGTTGGGGGGCAGGCCACCAACCAGACAGACACACAGGCGGAAGGAGGATGCCGCCTCCCTCCCTCCCTCTTCCAGGGAGCCAGGCCCCCTCGGCCCTGAGGCTGGGCCACGTGCTCTGGGTGGGCCCCTGGGGGAGGGGCTGGAAGGCAGCCCAGCCCCCACTCGGAATGGAGGCAAACCAGTGCGCAGCCTGAGCGCCGCCACCGCCCCCTTCCTCACGCTTCATCCTCCCCACCGCGTGCATCCCGAGCATTTTACACCGGAGACTCGCCCAAGGTCACCAGCGCCTGGAAGATTCAAGCCTACAGACACCTGACCTAGACCCTCCCTTGATTAAGCACCAAGATGCCCGCAACAAAAATACCAGGATGATGTCCTACAGACTCCCCGAAGCCTCGGATTAGCCCTTACACCGCGGGGTGGCCTGAGAGTGGGCAGGGCTGCTCCCACTCAGGGGCCAGGCTGCAAGCCCAGCAGGGGAGGCGGTTCAATCTGTGGCACCTGAACCCAAATGGTCCCTCAGAGTCATCACTTACTAGAGACCACATGGCGGCGGGAGGGGGGTGTCAGAGATCAAGGGCCACACGGCCTCCAGCTGTGGGGCTTCCCAGAGACAAAGGGAAAGGGAAGCTGCGCACACAGCTTGTGTTAGAACGAAAAGAGAGCTGCCGTCACCAGGAGGCCACTGACCCTGTGCCAAGCGGGAGCCTCATCAGCACCACCTGGGGACTTGCTAGGAATGCAAGTTCTCAGGCCCCGCCCACTGAGCCAGGAGCTCGAGGGTCGCCCGGAATCAGTTCTGCTGTGCGACTCGGTGGCACACTTGCGTCAGAATCACTGACCTAGTCCCGCTTGTGCAGATGGGCACGGAGACTGTGCCGCGCGTGCAAGGTAACAGCAGGTACACGGCCGGCCAGTTTGTGCTACTCTAGGAACGGCTCCGTTTGCGGTAGGGGGTGGGGAGGCAATCGTGGGAATTCCCAGGAAGCAGGAGAAGAGGCAAGAAACATCTCAGAGGAAGCTGGCCCAGATCTCAGGCCCCGGGCTTCACCTCCCCAGCAGCCAGACAGGGGAGAGAAGAGCCGGCTCAACCATTCACCCCTCCCGCCGGCACCGGGGGCAGGAAGGAAGGGCCGGAGCAGGGCTGGGCTTCCTGGCAGCCGAGGTGTCTTTCAGAGGCATCCAGGCCCATCCCCCACCACAAAACACCACTGGGAAACACTGGCCAGGGCCGCCCGCCTCTCCTGCGCTACTAAACAGGCAGAGAATTGCAGGCCCCGAACTCCTGACAACAGAAGCTGACAGGCGGGATGGATGGGCCCAGCAGGCCGCCGATTTCACACACACAGCTCCACACGTCTGTGTGGGGAGGGGCTGCAGAACCAGCTCAACGGGTTTGCAGTGTCCGCCCTCCCAGGGCTCCAGGCCAAAGCCCCCCAAATCTCCCTTACAGATTGGGAAAGGCCTCACACCTACCTGAGGAGGACTGTCAGAGTCAAACTAGGCCTGCTGCTGCTGTCCAGTGGAGGACGGTCCACCCTGGGGGCACCGGCATGTGGCCCCTTCTCTGGCCAGGAGCCTGAGGGTGGGAGGGAGAAGCCGGACTGTTAGGGAGTTGATGGCCACACACCAGACGGGACCTCCGGAAGGGAAGGGGATCCTTACAAATGCCTCCCCCCCTATTCCTAGCTGCCAAGGCGCCCTCACTCTGGAATGGCTCAGAGCAGGGGTGGCTGAGTCACCAAGGTTCAGCCCAAGCAAAAAGCAGCAGCAGGCGACTAATCTGCATTTCCAAAGGTCCGCCCCGGCCGCATTCCCTCCCCCAGCCAGACAAGTGAGAGATTTACCCCGGAGCCCTCGCCTGGGGGGAGCCCTTCGCCCGGGGGGACCCCGGGGAAGGCCCGCTCAGCCTTCCCAGGCCTCAACCCCCACCTTAGCCTCTAGAGCCCGTTTGGAGGGCGTGCCCTGGACGACCAGATCGGGCGTCGGTGGCTTCCGCGAGGGCCTCACGCCCAAAATGGGGACAAAGGGAGCCCCTGTGCCTGGGGCTCGACTATCAAAGGGCAGTTGCGAGCCAGACGTGGGCACCGAAGCCCAGAGTGCAGCCCAGAGTAGGGGGACGGCCTCGAGGCCCCGATCAGCTCCGTGGCCCTTTACTACTGGCTCCCGCGCGGGCGAGAGGGAGCCAGGCCTCCTGGTGCCCGGTCCCAGCCAGCTGCGCAGCCCCGGCTCAACATCGAGGCTTCCGGGCCAGGGTCGTCCACACCGGCGGTGGCCTGGAGCGTGGGCGACGAGGCGCCGGCCTCCCCTCCCCCCGGCCTCCCCGCCTCCCTCCCTCCTCCCGCCTGGCGCTCAGCGGCCGCCACCGCCCGAGCCGCGGGCGGCGCGCGAAATGGCGCCGGTCTGTTTGCCTCGCCCCGCGGAGGCGAGCGCGGAAGCCCCAGCGCGCGACGCCCCCAGGCCCCAGGCCCCCGCAACGGCCTCAGCGAGCAGCCCCCGACCCGGGGAGCAGCGCCCTGCGGACTCTCGGGGCCCGGCCCGGCCGAGGACCGCCGCCTGCGTCGGGTGCCCAACGACAACCGGGGAAGGAGGGAGGAAGGGCGCGGAGAGCGGCAGCCATGAGCCGCGCGCCGCCCGGCCTGCCCGGCCCGCCCGGCCCCGGCCCCAGCCGGCGGCTCTGCTCTGAACCTGAAAATAAAACTCGTGTTTGGGAGGGAGGAGCGCGCACGGCCGGGAGAACCGGCGACGCCAGGGCTGCAGGCGGGAGAGATGCTGCGTCATGGTGCCAACATGGACGCCGGCCTTTGTCCTTTGTTGCTTGGGAGGCGCAGGCGCGCCCCGGAGGCCGGCGGAGCGGGCTCCAGGATTCCAGACCCCGCAGTCCAGGGAAAGGGGCCTTAGGCCAGGCGGGGACGTTTCCTCGACTTTGGAGCCCCCCACCCCATCTCCAAAGCACTTCGATTTCTTCCCCCCACCAAGGCTCAGACCTGGAGGAGCGAGGGGCAGGGGCAGGCAGCTCCAGGGATGCCGAGGTCGCTGGGGAGCCTCTCCTCCCCTCACGGGCATATGAGGCCGAAGAGCCCTTCTCGGCCCCCACCCCTCCCGGATCCGGCTTCCAAACACAAAGCTCCAGAAACACCCTTCTCCCCTCAGCTCCCACACCTTTGCAGCCCGTGGCCTGCTCAGAATAAAAAGATTTCCTCGAAGGGGCAAAAGGCATTTTTTTTTTTTTTTTAACTTACCAGCTCGGCCAGGTGCCATGGAGTCTGGAAGATAAAGCTGGGCGGAGGGTTGAGAGGTGTTATTGGAAAAAAAAAATCTCGGGGGGGTTTTGTTTAGTTGGAGATATTTGGGGAAATGGTGGTGCCTTTTTTGTTGTTACCTTTTTGTAAGTTACACTCTCATGGCATTTTCTGTCCTTCCACTTCTGTAAACTTTCCAGGGTTGGGTTGGCAAAAGGCGGCTTCGCTGAGGACTGTTTACTGCTCTGGATATAGCAATGGTGTGACCGTCATTAAGAGACAAAAGGCGAAAATACACAGTCAAATCAAACAAAAGGCAAAAAGACACGCGGCCACCCCAACCACCATAGAAAAATACCCGCAAGTTAACATTGGTGTTTGGCTCAAACCAGCCAGGACTTGTTTTCCAGTTTTAATCTAGTTTCCTGTGACGGCTTTAGTCTCTTTACACAAAGAGGTCTTCCTTTCCCTCACCCACTCCTCTACCAAGACCAGAAAAACAGAGTTGTTTTTCTTCAAATAGATCGATTTTCAAAGAAAGTGTACATGTTACTGGGAAGAAAGCTGACTAGCATTTATTGCTGTAAACATTTTCAAAGCTTAAAGCTAAAGCCTTAGCTTTATAAAAGCAAAATCGTCTAAAAGCATTTTAACTGGCTTATTATTAGACAAGAGCGACAAAGACATACATGCAGATGAAGGTTCAGAAAATTAAGGACATCTCAGCAACATTAACATGAAAACTGCACTGCGTAAGGACAGAATGGATTGGGTACTTACAATGTAAAAGGTTTTTAAAAACTTAAAAGAGTAACAACTGCTTACAATTTGTTGTTGCTGCCATTTCGCTAGTCCTAAAACTATACATTTAAAACATTACCTTGTTAAAAAAAATAAAAAGAGAGAAGGAGTTAATAAGATGGCCAGTTTTAAGTGTTTAATAGAGGAAACTATATATATTTAAAAATTTATTGTTCAGTCAAGAGAATACAGATTAAGACAGCTCCAAGCTTCCCACCCCCCCACTCACCCAAGAAAAAAAAAAAAGGAAAAAAATTAAATATGTCATTTACTTAGGTTTTTTGGAATTCAAAATTGTTAACTGCTGACATTAATGGTGTGCTATGACCTAGTTATATAAGACAAAGATGGATTCCAAGTCATAAGGAAAAATCCAGATCTTTTTAAAAAGTCTTCTTCATTCTTCCAATTGTGAATCCTTTAGCCTGTTGACAAATGTTAAACACAACACTGAGGCGTCCTGAACTGGATGGTGGAGTCAAAGGAAAAACATTCCCCATTTGCAACAAAGGAAAAACCCACTTGGCCATTTAATTCCATTGCAGAAAAATGGCTCCCCTCATCTGTTGGCCTCTCCTTGGTGTCTGATGAAGGATGTTTTGAGATCAGCGTCTAATAACTCAAGCCCTATAGAAGCCGCGCGCTGATTGGCTGCCGCGCCCTGCCGCCCTGCTCCAGCCAATTACCTACCCACGGCCAAATTACAAACCCCGAAAAGAGCCCCAATATGAAATACACCACCACGAAGCCCCGGCGAGGCGGCTGCTCGCCTCGCCGCCCGACTCGAGAGGCAGAGGGGGCTGCAAACGCGTCCTCGCGCAGCCCGGGAGCCTCCGAGTTGAACTCACAAGATGGAAGCCGCGCGCTGATTGGCCGCCGCCACTCCCGGACCTTTAATAAAGAAAGGGGAAGGAAAAGATAAATGCAAAAAAGGGGGACTCTCTCTCCTTTGCCGGTGGCTGGAGGAAGAAGGGGGTGGGGGGGGAAGACAACCATGTGTCCTGGACAATTACAGGGCGCTGCTCTCCCAAAATAAAAACAGTGCAAAGAGCTTCTATCAGCCAGGTCCAGGCGAGGGCTGCATCCTCCCAAGAATGTGAATGCTAATTTGGTTCAAATCCTGGTTTCCCTCCCCAGCTCTGCTCCGGGGGGAGGGGGTCGCGGGGCAGAAGAGGAAGCCGGAGCGGAGATACCTCGATTGCAACTCGCCTGGAGTCGTCTGGCCTCCTCCCGCGGCTCGAGCGTCCACACACACAATCAAACCCCAAAGCCCCAGCCCTGTCCCTCGAGCCCCCACGCGCCCACCTCCGACCTGGGCAGTTTGGAAACAGTTGGGGAGGCCCGGGGCTCACGCCGCGGCTCGGAGGGTAGCCTCAGCCGCGGGAGGTAGAGCCCGGGGAGACCCCCCCGCCCCCGCCCGCCGAGACCCCCACCTAGGTCCCAGCAGAATAAATAAATTAAAAGGCCTTCCCCTGGGGAGGGGGGAGGCAGTGTGGGAGCGCGCAAGTGAGGGGTGGGGGGCCGCTGGGGCCCGGGGCTTTGGCGGCGCAGCTGCCGCCGCCGGGAGAGTGCCTGGGGAAGCGGCGAGGAAGGCGAGGGGAGGAGGAAGAGGAGGAGGAGGAAGAGGAGGAGGGTGAGCGCTCGGGTCGGGCTCCTTAGCGGTGTATTGTGGGATGTGCGGCTACTGGGAGCCGAGCCTCCGCCGCCAGCCGCCTCCCGGGCAGCAGCAGCAGCAGCAGCGGCGGCGGCAGCAGCTCTGGGCCCGGCAGCCGCGGCGGCGCCCCCCCCTCCCGGCCCCCCGTCCGGCAGCCCCGGCCTCGGCTCCCGCGGGGGACACCATGTACTGGCTGGCGGCGCAGGGAGGCCGGCGCCCGGCGGGGATGTAAGCGCGGCGCGGGGAGGGAGAGGCCGCGGCCGGCAGCCAGGCGGCCTTAGCCCCCGGCCCCGGCCCCGGGGCCCCGGCCGGGCGGGCGGGCGGGCGGGCGGCGCCAGGCCTGCCGCGAGCCCCGCGCCCGAGCCGCGCCGAGCGAGCGAGTGCGCGCCACGCCGGGCGGCCGGGCGCCCGGGCGGCACCATGGGCCGGAGCCCGCGTCCTCCCGGCGCCCCGGGCCCCGCCAGCCCGCAGAGGGGGCCCCCGGGAGCCCCTCGCTGCCGCCCCGAGACGGTGGCCGAGCGGGCGGGCTTCTGATTCCCCCGGAAGGGTTATTCTCTCGCTCCATTCTTATTTTGGGGGGAGCCAGCGAGACAGCGCCTTTTGGGGCGCGCTGGTAAGGTGGGAGGGGGTGGGGGCTGGACGATTTTATTCTTTCGCGTGTGTGTGGCAGCGGCCGCCGCCGCGGCGGAGACGACAACAACTTGCTCGTTCTCAGGTTGGGTTAACGGCATGGAGAACAGTCACCCCCACCACCACCACCAGCAGCCCCCGCCGCAGCCCGGCCCTTCGGGCGAGAGGAGGAACCACCATTGGAGAAGTTACAAGTTGATGATTGACCCGGCTCTGAAAAAGGGACACCATAAACTGTACCGCTACGATGGGCAGCATTTCAGCCTGGCGGTGAGTAGCCGGCGCGCCTCCCCGCCGCCCCCCGCCGCCCCCGCCGGGCCCGGGAGAGGGGTCCCAGCGGCCCGGGGACCCCCGTCCCGACCCCCGGCCAACTGTCAGCCCGGCTGGCCCAGCCCTAGAGTTTGACAAGTGCCCGGAGTAGGGGGTCCTGCCCCGGCCCCTGGGGAGCGGTGGGACCAGCCCTCCCATCCCGCCCCCGGCCCCCCATTTCTTCCCACAGATGTCCAGCAACCGCCCGGTGGAAATTGTCGAAGATCCACGGGTGGTCGGAATCTGGACCAAAAACAAGGAGCTGGAGCTGTCGGTGCCCAAATTCAAGGTAGGACCCCTCCCCCCGACCCGCGGTCCCCCGCCCCTCCCCGAGTTCGAAAATAACGCCAGTCCAGACCGAGCCCGGCCGGGTTCTGAGTTCCCGCGTCCGGGACGGGGAGCGCTTGGCGGGAGGGGGGGCTCGCCGCGACAGGGGCGTCCCCTCTGGGCGACCGTAAACAGAATAACACTGCGGTGAAACTGTAATCTAGGTGCCGCTACTGTGTCCTGCCCGCCCAACTGGGGGCTCCGGGTCCCCACCGGGCTCCTGCCAGCCCGGGGGTTTGGCCCAAGGGACCCGCCCCCCTTCCCAGCCTGGTGGCTTTAGAGGGGCAACTTCCTAGCCCCAGGGGTCGCCCCGGCCCGGCGGCAGGAGAGGAGGCCGGAATGGGGGTGTGGGGAAAGAGAAACTGTTTCTTTTTCCCCTTTCCTTTCGAACCCGGAGAACTTCCACGTTCCAAACGATTTAATCTTCCGCTTCCCGGGCCCGCCCGCGTGCATTTTTTTTTCCAAAAATTTTTTTTTAATTTTTTTACCCTTCATTGTTTTCCACGGGCAGGCGAGGGGGGAATGTTGTGTTTTCCCTTCAATTTCAATGCTCTCCCACCTCCCTTCCCCCTCGTCTCCTGCCAGATCGATGAGTTCTACGTGGGCCCAGTGCCTCCGAAGCAGGTGACATTTGCCAAGCTGAATGATAACATCCGCGAAAACTTCCTGAGGGACATGTGCAAGAAGTATGGGGAAGTGGAGGAGGTGGAGATTTTGTACAACCCCAAGACCAAGAAGCACTTGGGCATTGCCAAAGTGGTCTTTGCCACGGTCCGGGGGGCCAAGGAGGCGGTTCAGCACTTGCATAGCACTTCGGTCATGGGCAATATCATCCACGTGGAGCTGGACACCAAAGGTGAGTGGAGGCTGGCTGAGCGCCCTGGCAGAGGAGCTCAAGACCTTTCAGTGTGCCCCCTTCTCCTCCCTGGGCCCCTCCGGCCCTGTTGGGGACCCCCTCACTCTTCCTTGGGTGCCCCACTACAATGTTTTTTTTTTTCCTTTGGCCCCCTCCTGAGGGTAGAGTCACATGGAGCTAAATGTGTTGTCTGTTGCTAGGAAACAAACTGTAATTTACCAAATGTGCTGTCCTCACCCACTGCACCCCCAGGGACCACCCGGAGGCTTCCCCACCGCTGACACCCCCAGAGGGCCCTGGAGAGCCCCTCTAGAGCCCCGGAGGCCTGGGTTTAGACAGTCCCCAGTGTGTCCTCTGTGTGAGGGGAGGAGTCTGGGTTTGTTTATTTGGGGGGGGTGCTGCTGAGGGAGAGCCACTAGGATGCCTTTAAATGCATAGAGAATGGGTCCCTCAACTAAAAAGGGAGCCCTCCAGAGATCCAGGGTGCCCCCCCCTCCGTTTCGCCCCTCCCCCCTGGAAGTAGGAACCAATCTGGGCCTAGAGTGCGGTTTCATTGATAATGTTCCAGATAGTGCAGGGCGGGCTGTTCTGGGTGCTCTAGGGTTGACACTGTGTCTTCCCTCCTCTCTCTTAAAGAGACAGCAGCACCTCCCCTGCGCTGTGCTCACTCCCTGCTGGCTGCTGGGAGAGGCGGGCTGGGAGGCCACACCTCCTGCCGGCTGGGCCCCGCCGGGCCCCCTCCTGAATGCTGGCTGGAGGGGGAGCAAGGACTCCAGCCCCCACCAGGACAGAAGGTGCCCAGATAGGTGCCAGGCACTCCACGTGCCAGCCCTGTGACTGGGCCAACACCATGACTGCATCCAGGCCCCCTTCAGGTCCCTGAGTGGGCTTAGGTGGGCAGCGTCCAAGGGTTTTGTGAGCTCCCAGGGCACACAAAACCTAAGACAGGAAAGCCTAACCCTTTACTTTTGGTTTTCATAATGGATGCACATTGCCTGTGTCTCTGAGACCTTGCTTGGGGGCTGTGGAGGGAGGCTGATCCTGGACGGGCACTGTTGTCCCATGAACTCTGCGGTGCTGTGCCGGTTCTGAGTCTCCTAGGGGCACAAGTCCAGGTTCCTATCTGAATCCCTCCCCCCCGCCCCCCAGCTCTAGTTTCTCAGTCTCTGGGGGAGGGGGAGTACAGACCCTTTCAAACCCGCGTGCCCCTGGGCTGGCTGCAGCCCGAGAACCGAGGCGGGCCCCTCCCCACTCTAAGGAGCTGCCGGCTCTCACACAATTTCATTTCGGCAAAAAGACAAAGGGAGGGGCCCTCGGAGACCGCTAACTAAGTTTGTATTTCAAGAAAGAGACCAGTAAAGTGTAGCTCAAGGAATGCGTCTCCTTTGCATATGTAAGCAGCTGCCTCACAGGGCTCTATAAATATCGGTAACCTGGGGCCCGGTCTATAGAGGCCTCTCTGCTGGGAGGGGGGAGGGGTGGGAGGCGCTCGGGCAGGGCAGGGCTCAGTGACACCAGCCCCGGACCAAGCTGGGAGGTCTGGTCTCACGAGGAGGCCTGGGAGGTCCCCAGGAACTTGGAATTAGCGTGTGTTTTACAACCTGCTGGTCACCTGGCTCCCCCGATAGTTACTGAGAAACTGCCACCTCGCCTCTCCACGTGCTGCCAGGACTGGGAAGACCTGACGCTGGGCGCCCAGGTGGCAGGAAGGGGCTTCGTGCAGGGGGTGGCATTCTGCATTTGGGGGAATCCCAGCCCCAGAGGCATTCAGTTCTGAGTGTCAGGATGAGAAAAGTCATACAGTGTCACAGCTTCATTGAGCAGATGGGACACCTGAGTGAGGTACAGAGAGAGGTGGGAACTTGCTTACGGTCACACAGCTTCCCCAGGCTTGGGGTGTCGGGCACCAGGGACCCGCAGGGAAGCCAGCCTGTGGGGGCTGCCCGCTCTGGGAGCCTGGCTGAAGCCTCCCTCCCTTGTGCTTCCTCAGGGGAAACCCGAATGCGGTTTTACGAACTGTTGGTCACGGGCCGATACACACCCCAGACCCTGCCGGTGGGTGAGCTGGATGCTGTCTCTCCAATTGTGAACGAGACCTTGCAGGTGGGTTTGTCACTAGCAGTTTCTACTCCCCTAACCCCCATCACGGGCTCATGGATGTGTCGCCCACCCCAGCCTCGGACACCGTGGCCTAGGACGGGAAGGAGCCTGGCCACACGCGGGCTGGGGTTCCCACAGACCCAGAGCCCCCCTGGAGCCCGCTCGCCATGTGGGCGCTGCATCTGAAGTCCTGTGTGCCCTTCTACCCCTGCTCCCAGGGAGCAGGGTTCAGGGCCCTCTTTCCTGAGCCAGGCTGACTCCTCCCCCAGTCCCTGCCCCCCACCCCGGCACACTCACTGGGACCACCCTTGCCCGGGGAGACTCTCATCCAAGCCCAGCCCTTCCCAGCTGCGACGCAGCCACGCTCCAGAGCCGCTTTCCCAGAATGAGGAGACTGGTCACTTGCTGGTCAGCTGCGTTGTTCATTAGACACATTTACCATGTCATATTCTTTAAGTCCTGAAGCAGCGGGTGGCCACCCCCTCACTCCCAAGGCTGTAGTTCTTCCCACTGCCCCTGCCTGGAAGGTCTTTGATTTCTGCTGGCCGGAGACAGGAAGAAAATCCCAGTTCAAACCAGGGCATCAGGGTCTTCCCTTTTCTCTGCTTCAGGGATTAGGAAAAACCCTCAAGGTTCCCTGAGGATAACTGGCTACCCTGAGAGTAGAGAAAGGTTAGGACCACCCAACCACTTGTCTTCTGTCTCCCCCACCCCTAACTCTTACCACGTTGCATTTCTAAAGTGACCACTGTGTCTTGAAGCTCCGCAGCAGCAGCCACCGCTGGAGTGAGAGCGCCCAATTCTACTGCCTGTCCCTGCTCCCTGCCAGGATCTCACGCCTCTCCCTGTTTCTCCCTCTCTCTGTAGTTGTCAGATGCCCTGAAGCGCCTCAAGGATGGGGGCCTGTCCACAGGCTGTGGCTCTGGCTCGTCCTCTGTCACCCCAAATAGTGGCGGGACGCCCTTCTCCCAGGACACTGCTTACTCCAGCTGTCGCCTGGACACGCCCAATTCCTACGGACAGGGCACGCCGCTCACGCCGCGCCTGGGCACCCCCTTCTCGCAGGATTCCAGCTATTCCAGCCGCCAGCCCACACCCTCCTACCTCTTCAACCAGGACCCCACGGTGACCTTCAAGGCCCGGCGCCATGAGAGCAAGTTTACGGATGCCTACAACCGCCGCCACGAGCACCACTATGTCCACAACTCTCCTGCGGTCACAGCGGTGGCCGGGGCCGCAGCCGCCTTCAGGGGCTCTGTGGACCTCCCGTTCGGGGCAGTCAGCAGTAGTGGGGCCAGCGGCGGTCCCCCGTTCAAGGCCCAGCCCCAGGACTCAGCCACGTTTGCCCACACTCCACCACCTCCCCAAGCAACCCCTGCTGCTGGAGTCACGTTCAAGCCGGCTTTCTCTCCCTACCAGACCCCGGTACCTCCTTTCCCCCCACCCCCCGAGGAGCCCCCCACCACAACCGCCTTTGGAGCCCGTGACAGTGGGGAGTTCCAGAGAGCACCTGCGCCCCCACCCCTGCCGCCTAGTGAGCCCCTGACCAAGGAGAAGCCGGGCACGCCCCCCGGCCCACCACCCCCCGATGCCAACAGCATGGAGCTGGGTGGCCGGCCAACCTTCGGCTGGAGCCCAGAGCCCTGCGACAGCCCGGGCACCCCGACCCTGGAGTCGTCACCAGGGCTGGAGAAGCCCCACGACAGCCTGGACTCGCGCATCGAGATGTTGCTGAAGGAGCAGCGCACCAAGCTACCCTTCCTCCCGGAGCAGGACTCGGACACGGAGCTGCAGATGGAGGGCAGCCCCATCTCCTCCTCCTCCTCCCAGCTCTCCCCTCTGGCCCCCTTTGGCGCTAACTCCCAGCCGGGCTTCCGAGGCCCCACGCCACCTTCCTCGCGCCCCTCCAGCACCGGGCTGGAGGACATTAGCCCCACGCCACTGCCGGACTCGGACGAGGATGAGGAGCCTGACCTGGGGATGGGGCCCCGGCCCCCACCTGAGCCAGGCCCCCCGGACCCGACTGGTCTTCTGGGTCAGACAACTGAGATGGCCTTGGACCTGGCTGGAGACAGGACCCCAACCTCAGAGAAGATGGATGAGGTACCACCATGTCTGTCCATCTCTGTCTGGGATTGGTTTTGTCTGTCTTAATGTCTCCCCCTTTATCCTCTCAAAACGTTATCTTCTTGGAAAACTAGCTAAGACATAGAAGCAACAAGGCTAGGGCAGCCAGAAGAACGGGTCACTGTATAGAGAATAAAAAGAGGATGCAAAAAGCACCAGACTGTGATGGAGCAGCTGGTTTGGCTCTGAGCTTCCTAGCAGCCATGGAGAGGAGGGCAACATGACCTAGTCGTGCTGTTCTCCTTGTTAGGTGTGGGGCGTCAGGACTTTCCCTAGGGATCAGTTCTGACTCAATCTTCCTTGGTAGGAGTGTGCTGAGATCCCAGAGAGTGTGGATTGTGGTCATCGTCCTGGGCCCCCTTCTCTCTTGGGTGGCTTGGGGATGATCAGGGCTGGACCTGAGGCTCAGGAAAATTAGAGAGAACAGGGGAGCTCCGGAGCACTGTCTCTTTGAACCTAGTGCCCTCGAAGAGATGGGAAACCATGGTGGGTGGGCAGGGCGGGCATTGACATTTCCCTTCTCCCACTTTTTCTGGCTCCAGCAGCGAAGGAGTTAAGGGCCAGCCCGGGGGAGGGCCACAGCCGGCCAAATTGTCCACCCTCCACCCTCTCCTCGCCCTTAGATCCTCTCCTGGGTTCTCTTGCCCTAATCTCCAGCCTCAGGATGCGGGGAGGGGGTGCTGTGTGCCACATTCCCCGGGAGAGGGGATGTTAGGTCCTCTTCCTTGACTCTGCTCCTTCCCCCTTCCTGGTCCAGGCACCTGTGCCGCCCTCCCTGCCGCCCTCCCTGCGACCTGCGTCACAACCTGTGGGCCCGATGGGCATGAGCAACCAGAGGCTTAGACTGAGCTCTGTGCCCTTGTGGGCGGTGGGGAGGAGGGTCCTCCCCTTCCTGGGCCCTTTGATTAGGCCGGCTTGGCTGCCCCAGGGAGGAACAGGGAGCTCGGCCTGCCCAGGAGGGGACCGCAGGTGGCTGGGGCTCCAGGGGGCCTCCAGGCAGTTCTGGGGAAGTGGTTGCAGGTGCCAAGGGCTCCACGCGGCGGCGGCAGCAGCAGCAGCAGCGGGGTTGACAGGTGTGCAGAGGTGGAGGCTGCAGACCCTGCCACCCTCCTGTTTTCCCGCCCTGGGGGCTGCTGCCTGGGGTTAGGGGATGTTGACCATGCTGACCACCTCGTCCAAGGCTGGGAGGCGCAGAGCAATCGGAGGGACAGGACTCTCGGGAAGTCACTGTTGGGAAGTCACTGCCGGGAAGGGGACTCTGAGGCCCAGAGACTCCGGGTCCGGGATGCCTGCGGTCTTTCATCAGGGACGCCTGGGAGCGCCGGGAGCCTCCAGGCTGGCCCTCGGGAGCCCCCTGCCGGCAGCCGGGAGAGCAGCGTGCGGGCAGCGCAGACCGAGCTGCGAGCTCCCCCGCGGCTGGACTGGGAGCCGCGCAGGGCTGCTGCAGGTGGATTGGGGGCGGGGGCTTCCCTTTCTTTCAGAGACGGGGTTAAACACGCAGGCGCCAGGCTTTGAGCCCTGAGCCCCGGCTCTGCCCCTCACAGGCTCTGTGACCTTGGGAAAGGCCCTTTCCCTCTCGGAGTCTCAGTTTCATTGTCAGTGAAATGGGATGCCACAGAGCACCTGTCTGGCCCTGTCTGGGCCTCAGCGAGGTGCTGGGCGCCCCGTTAGTTCCAACCAGTACCGCTTGCAGACACCCCGAGGGCAGGTCCCCAGGTCCCCGTGGTCCCCTCCCGATTGATGGGCTGGCCACAGGGTCCGTGGGTTAACTGCGGGCACCGCCAGGCTTGTGGGGCACTGTTCCTGCGTCTAGGCTGCCTGGCCCTCTCTCAGCCGGCGCCTGGGCACCCTGGTGGGGGGTGTGTGTGGAGAAAAGCAGAATAGAGGGAACTAATCAAAATCCAGAGCTTCCTGCCGCTGCCCAAGGTTTGGTGTTCTTCCCCCACCCCCCATGTTCCTTCGAGGCCCCCTGACCTGTGGGCCGACCTCCCTTCCCCCTCCCTTACAGCCTGCAAGCACCCTGGTCTTAAAGCCTATGAAGGCGCTGTCTCCTCAGCCAAGGCCACCCAGGGTTCCCTCTCGTTTCTCTGGGGGTGGCCAGGCCCTTTCCTCCCTACCATTCAGTACCTGTCTTCTGGCGCCACCTCCCCATGCAGACCCCCTGCCCCGCACTGTGTCCCACTGTGCTGAGCAGCCCCTGCCCATTGTAGAGCTGGGGTCCTCCTTGACTCCTCCCCCGTTCCCCAGGTCCAGGTGCCCTGATTCCCGCGGCAGCCCCCTCCCTCGGCCGGGCATCATGAGCTTGAGCCCTGGCCCCGCTTCTGACTGGCTCGGCCTCTTGGGCCCATGGCTTTTGACTCTCTTGCGTGTTTCCTCGCCTGTCGGGAGGGACTGGAGTAGAGCCCCAGGTGGAGGTCGCAGTGCCGGTGAGAAAGGGGACCCCTGTGTTCATTGCAGCGTTGTTTACAGTCGCCAAGATCTGGAAGCAGCCCAAGTGCCCGTCAGGAGATGAGTGGATAAAAAAGCTGCAGGGCATTTTCACAAGGGAATACGACTCAGCTGTAAAAAAGAAAGCAGCCTTACGGCTTTGTGACAGCATGGCTGGGCGGGAGAGCGTTATGCTAAGCAAAGTGAGCCAGTCAGGGAAAGGCAAGTGCCATGTGATTTCCGTTATACGTAGAATCTAAGGAACAAAATAAACCAACAAACAATGGAAACAGACTCATAGATACAGCAAACAGGCTGGCAGCTGTCAGAGGGGAGGGGGGTTGGGGGCCTGGGTAAAAAAAGTGAAGAGATTAAGCAAAAACAAAAAAAAAACAAAAAAACCCCCAGCTTATAGAGAGAGCCAATGTGGTGATGACCAGAAGGGGCGGGGGAGGTAGAAGAGGGTAAAGGGGGGATCAGTGGCGGGGGGGGTGGAGACCTGACTTGCGGGGTGAGCACACGCTGTAACAGACAGACGATGTGTTATAGAATTTGTACCCTTGGAACCAATGTCACCCCAACAAATTCGATGTTTTAAAAATGTAAAAAAAATTGGAAATGAGACATCCCACACTGGCCCGTACTACGGGCAGTCACGAGACTGGGGGAAACAAGCACCTAAGGAAGGGTAAAGGCGCTCCCCCCGTTTATGTGCCCTTAGTCCTGCTACCACACTGCTTCCCCCCGCCGCCCCCCATTCCAACGTCACCTCCTCCACTGTCTCCCTCTACCACAGTGACAACAGCGGGCTGACTGGGAGCGCAGGCCACGAGCTGCGTCTGGGTTCGAATCCTGGCTCCGTCTCCACGGGCTGTGTGGCCTCGGGCACGTGCTTTAAGCCCTGTGTGTCCCGGTGTTCTCCTTAGCAAAGAGGGAGGTAGCGGGGCTGCGTCGTAGAGCTGGGAGGGTTAACTCAGTGACGGCGTGTAAAGTGCTGAGAAAGGTGCCTGGGCATAGGAAATGCTGCAGAGACGCTAATCGTCGGTATTACCTTCTCTGAACTCAAACTGAAACAGAATCTCTCAAATTGAAACAGAACCTGTTTCCCTCCTCTCACCCCGTCTCCCTTCCGGCTTGCTTCTTCTCCGGGACAGACTATGTATTTTTCACCTTCGCCCCGGTTACCCCTTCCCTCTAGAAGTTCAGCTCCGCGAGAGTGAGAATTTTGTGTGCCTTGTTCGCCACTCTGTTGTCAGCACCTGAAACAGTGCTGGGTAGATGTTTGGAAAATGCCAGAACCCTCGGGATAACCCCCTGCAGCGGGTACTCCAATGCCCGTTACACAGACAGGGGAACAGGCTCAGAGAGGTTACGAGACTTGCTGAGGCCACCAGGCTGGGAAGGGAGGGGACCAGGGCAGAGCGACCGAGCTCAGTTTCCAGGGCAGGCTTGCAGAAGGCGTCTTCTCTAACTCCGGCGTTCAGAAGGGGGTCCGGGGGCTGGCCGGGCCTCCCACGCTCCCGCTCACTGCCGTCTCCCTCTCTTCTCCCCAGGGCCAGCAGTCCTCTGGCGAGGACATGGAGATCTCGGACGACGAGATGCCCTCAGCCCCCATCACCAGCGCCGATTGTCCCAAGCCCATGGTGGTGACGCCAGGGGCGGCGCCTGTGGGAGCCCCCTCCGTGCTGGGCCCGAACCTGCCGCTGCCCCCACCCCCTGGCTTCCCACCGCTGCCCCCGCCCCCGCCCCCGCCCCCGCCCCAGCCTGGCTTCCCCATGCCCCCACCTCTGCCACCGCCCCCGCCCCCGCCACCCCCGGCCCACCCGGCCGTGACAGTGCCCCCGCCACCCCTGCCAGCGCCACCCGGCGTCCCGCCACCGCCAATCCTGCCCCCTCTGCCGCCCTTCCCGCCTGGGCTGTTTCCCGTGATGCAAGTGGACATGAGCCATGTGCTGGGCGGCCAGTGGGGCGGCATGCCCATGTCCTTCCAGATGCAAACACAAATGCTGAGCCGTCTGATGACAGGCCAGGGCGCCTGCCCCTACCCACCCTTCATGGCCGCTGCAGCCGGGCTGCAGTTTGTCAACCTGCCCCCTTACCGGGGCCCCTTTTCCCTGGGCAACACGGGCCCCGGTCGCGGGCAGCCCTGGCCGCCCCTGCCCAAGTTTGATCCGTCCGTGCCGCCGCCAGGCTACATGCCACGCCAGGAGGACCCGCACAAGGCCACTGTCGACGGTGTCCTCCTGGTGGTGCTCAAAGAGCTCAAGGCCATCATGAAGCGTGACCTGAACCGCAAGATGGTGGAGGTGGTGGCCTTCCGGGCCTTCGACGAGTGGTGGGACAAGAAGGAGCGGATGGCGAAGGTGGGTGGTGGGCCAGGACCCAGCCTGACCGGCACGCGCTTTCTCCGAGGCCCGTCACTGGGAACGCTACTATCCGTACCCCCAAGATAGGATGGTGTGTGTTATATTGTGAAACTTGGGGTCAATGATACCGAAGGGCACTTACAGCGTGGCTCTTGCGAGTCCCGGTCCCCAAAGTGGGAGAGCCAGCGGTCGGTGCAGGCAGCTGCAGCGGCCCCTCGGCAGGCGAGGAAGTGGGTGTTCAGCGTCCTGAGTGGGCACGGAGGGCGGCTGGTTCTCGGGAAGGAAGCTCCCTGCTGCCCTGCGGCTGCCACTATTGGAGGAAGGCGGGCTGCTCGGAATGGCCACCCAGTGGGGTCCCTGGCAGCACCGTAACCACGGTGACTCTCCCTCTTGCACCCAGGCCTCACTGACCCCCGTGAAGTCAGGCGAGCACAAGGACGAGGACCGGCCGAAGCCCAAGGACCGCATCACCTCGTGCCTGCTGGAGTCGTGGGGCAAGGGCGAGGGCCTGGGCTACGAGGGCCTGGGCCTGGGCATCGGGCTGCGGGGGGCCATCCGCCTGCCCTCCTTCAAGGTCAAGAGGAAGGAGCCACCGGACACAGCCTCCGCCGGAGACCAGAAGCGACTTCGGCCCTCAACCTCCGTGGATGAAGAAGACGAAGGTTTGTGCCGCCCGCCCCCCAACGGGCTCTGGGGTCTCCGCCCCTCCGGCGCCCTCCCAGCCTAGCGCTGATGCCTGCTTCCCCACAGAGTCGGAGCGGGAGCGGGACCGGGATGCGGCGGATGCCCCCTGCGAGCTCGCCAAGCGGGACCCCAAGGGCGTGGGTGTGCGGCGGCGGCCGGCCCGACCCCTGGAGCTGGACAGCGGCGGCGAGGAGGATGAGAAGGAGTCGCTGTCGGTGTCCTCGTCGTCGTCGGCGTCCTCCTCCTCCGGGTCCTCCACGACCTCGCCTTCATCCTCCGCCTCGGACAAGGAGGAGCAGGAGAGCACCGAGGAGGAAGAGGAGGGGGAGGAGGAAGAGGAGGAAGGCCCCCGGAGCCGCGTCTCCTCCTCCTCCACCTCATCCACGTCGGATAAGGTGCCATTCAGGGTGGGGAGGCCTGGGGCGCCAGGCCGGGTGAGGGGCACCCTGCGGCTCACCTGCCTCTCCCTCCCCCAGGAGGACGACGAGGACAGTGACGGCCAGGACGAGTCCAAGAACGACGACGAAGACTTGGCCCTGTCGGAGGCGAGTGACAAGGAGGAAGGGGACTCCGATGGAGGTGAGTGGGGCTGGCCGTGGTCCCCGGCCCGGGCCCGGGTCCCTGTGCAGAGGGCAGAGCCTGAGCAAGAGTTGCCACTGCTTTCTGGGCAAAATTTCTCGCCTTTGCAACGCAAACTCATTAAAACACACCCCCGGCGTCCCTTGTAATCCTGTTGGCGTGAAATGTCCCGAACAGGGCTACGCACAGCGCCGGAAGCCGGATCGTGGTTGCTCGGGGCAAGGGGGTGAGGGGACGGGGTCGGGGGGCAAGAGCTAAGGGGGATGGGTTTCTTCTTGGGCTCCTGACAGCGTTTTGGAACTAGATAGGAGGTGGCTGTGTTCATTGTGAACGTACTAAATGCCACTGAGTTGTCTTCTTTAAAATGGTTCGTTTCCTGTGTTGCGGATTTTGCCTCAGTTTAAAAAGTGACGGCTAGTCCACACGTACACATTCCTCCCATGTTTATGAGGGCCACGTTCAGGCCACGTGTCACCCCTTTGAGCCCCGAGCAAAGGGTCTGCTTGGGGCACAGCAGATATTGAGAGGGTCCCCGCCTGTGTCCCCTGCCCAGATGAGACAGCGAGCGTCGCTACCAGCAAGGCCGGAGCTAGCTCCTCCAGTGAGAGTTCTGAGTCTTCTGAGTTTGAGTCAAGTTCCGAGTCCTCGTCGTCATCCTCGGAGGATGAGGAAGAGCTGGTGGTGGAGGAGGAGGAGGAAGAGGAGGAGGAAGAGGAGGAGGAGGAGGAAGAGCCAGCCACTGACGAGAGCATGGCTCCCGCTGTGCCCGAGGAGGACTTTGAGAAGGACGTGGCCACAAGGCCACCCGTGATGGAGTCCTTGGGCACGGAAGAGGAGGTGGACATTGAGGCTGAGGACGAAGCCCCCGAGGAGCAGCCCCCTGTGCAGGAAGAGCCCCCCCTGCCTGTGGGCACGAAGGAGCTGGCTGGCTGCAAGGAGTCCGCCAAGGAGCCAGGTCTGAACCAGGAAGGGGTCCGGTCGCTGTCTCCAGAGCCCCCGGCGCGAGAGATGGAGGCCCACCTGCCGCCTTCCCCGGAGCCCGACCAAGGTAACGCCTGCAGCCCCTGGGGGGGCGGCGTGGGGCGTGGAGGCAGGATGAGCCCAGTCTCCTTTGGGTAAATCACACAACCTTCCCAAGCCTCAGTCTTCTCATCCGTGAAATGGGATTGGTGGGCAGGGCCCTCCCCATGAGGCTGTGTGGGAGGAGAGAGTGAGGGGACAGATAACGTGCCAGCTCCGGCCGGCATTTCCCCACCGATGCGTCCCTGGACCGTTAGTCCTACGAGATAGATGCTCCCCAGCAGGAGGGGCGGGCGGGCGTAGTGACAGCAGGTGGGGGAGGCTCCGGATGCGGGGCCGGGTGAGAGTGGCCGTGGATACCGCACCCTCCACACCTTGATGGCGCTGCACTGGGGCACGGTGCAGGCTTGGACAGCGCCATCCAGTGGAACTTCTGCAGTGATACAGACATTCACACTCTGCCCTGTCCAGCACCGTAGGCGCTCGAATCTGCAGTGTCACTTAATTTTAATTAATTTAAATTCCTTTTTAATGGCACATGGCACCAAGGGCAAGGGCAGGGGCAGGGGGCAGGGGCAGGCCTGCCACATGTGGTTAGTTTGTACCTCTACTAAGTCCTTCAGGAAAGAGAGCAGGGATAGTTTGTATCGTTCCGTTACTCGGCTACAGAATCACAGGTCTTTTAATGTTGTCACGAGTATTTTATTCAGGCTTTCTTGCGTCCCTAGTACTGTTCTGGGTACTAGCGGTGTGATGGTGGACCAAACAAAGATCTTTACCCTTGTGAAGCTTACAGGCTGGGGTGGGAGGCAAGATAACAGCAGAGAAGTTAGGAAATGCGTTTTCTGACAGTGGAGGTAAATGCCAGGAGAAGGCCTTAGAAGGCCCCGCCACGTCCCGCAGAAAAGAAACTTGAATTTTACTCGACAGCTCTGCCACCGGAGCCCGTTTCCTTGGTTCACAGGACGTTCTCTGTTCACAGCGCGCTGCTCTAAAAAGAGTGGCAAAGGCTCGCAGCCACGTCTCTGCCTTTGGTTTACTTCACCATTTATGAAGCACCTACTGTTTACCTGACCCTGGGCTGGATGCTGAGCAGTCCTGGAGCAGTTTAGCTGGAGGGGGTGTGGGGGACAGACTCTTCTTTATACTCAGAAGAGTCTCAGGGCTATGAGCGGGTTGGGTGTCAAGCGCACAGTGGGGAAGCAGAACGAGGGCGCTGAGAGATGTTTGAGCCAACTAACGGCGGCCTGGCTTTCGCCTGTCTCTGCAGGGGAGGACCTGGAAGCAAAGCCTGAGCCCCCCGCGCTGCTCTCCTCGCCCCTGCAGCCGCCATTGCCGCCCCACCGGCCGCCCCGGCCGCCCAGCCCGCCGCCTGAGCCCCAAGCCCCTGACCCCCCACATGCACCAGCCCCCCCGGAGCCTGCCCCCGAGGACCAGCCCCCGCGCACTCCGGGCCTCTGTGGCAGCCTGGCCAAGTCACAGAGCACAGAGACGGTGCCGGCCACCCCAAGCGGGGACCCCCCGCTGTCGGGGGGCAGCAGCAGCCTGTCCCTGAGCTCCCCGCAGGTGCCCGGCAGCCCCTTCTCCTACCCGTCCCAGTCCCCCAGCCTGAGCAGCGGGGGCCTCCCGAGGACGCCAGGCCGGGACTTCAGCTTTACGCCCACCTTCCCCGAGCCCGGCGGGCCCCTACTGCTGCCTGTCTGCCCCATCCCGGCCGGCCGGCGGGACGAGCGCTCCGGCCCGCTGCCCTCCCAGGTGCTCCTGGAGACCGGCCTGCCGCTCCCGCTGCCCCTGCCCCTGCCCCTGCCCTTGGCGTTGCCAGTACCTGTCCTGCGGCCCCAGACTCGGACCCCTGCCCAGCTGCCACCCCTGCTGCCCGCCCCTCTGGCTCCCTGCCCGCCCCCCATCAAGAGGAAGCCGGGCCGGCCCCGGCGATCCCCGCCAGCCCTGCTCTCCTTGGACGGGCCCTTGGTCCGGCCACCGGCGGGGGCTGCCCTTGGCAGGGACCTTCTGCTCTTGCCTGGCCAGCCACAGACCCCTGTCTTCCCCAGCACCCATGACCCCCGGGCCGTGACCCTGGACTTCCGGAACACGGGGATCCCGGCCCCTCCCCCACCCCTGCCTCCCCAGCCTCCCCCACCGCCACCTCCACCCCCTGTTGAGCCCACCAAGCTGCCGTTCAAGGAGCTGGAGAACCAGTGGCTCTCTGAGGCCATCCCCCCGGGCCCCCGCGGGCGTGACGAAGTCACGGAGGAGTTCATGGACCTGGCCAAGGTGCGCGGCCCCTGGCGCCGGCCACCTAAGAAGCGCCACGAGGACCTGGCGGCCTCGCCCGAGCTCTCCCCGCCGCAGCCCCTCTTCCGGCCCCGCACGGAGTTTGAGGAGATGACTATCCTCTATGACATCTGGAACGGTGGCATCGATGAAGAGGACATCCGCTTCCTGTGTGTCACCTACGAGCGGCTGCTGCAGCAGGACAATGGCATGGACTGGCTCAACGACACGCTCTGGGTCTACCATCCCTATATCCTGCCAGGCGGGGGCATGGGGGCTGGGGGGGCCACACCTCCTAGGACTAGGCATTCCCAGCCACGTCTGAGCTTCACTGCCCCACCCCCCCACCGGTGTCCACGAAGGCGATGGCGCGAGTCACTGTCACTGTGGAGCGGTGCCTAGTTGTGCTGGCACCGGGCTGGGGCCCACAGACTCGGGCCCACAGACTCGGCACCGGCACCTTTAAAGACGCCCTCCGTGCCAGGCGCAGCTCACCCCCAAGTTAGCAGGTCCCGCGGCCAAGTGCAGTCACGTGGTCGTACAAAGCAAGCGGGAGACGCTGGCCGAGGGCCTGCTCTTCCTGGGCTCCTGTCACCTGATTGACCCCCCCCCCGCCCCGCCCAGTGAGGTAGGGCTGTTTCCAGTACACAGTGTACAGAAACCAAAGCTCCGAAAGGATGAGCCCCCTGCCCAAAGTCACATACTGCAAAGGAAGCAGAGCTGAGGTTTGAACCCAGGCAAACCTGGTTGTCAGCTGGGAGCTGCCGCGTACCAAGGCTGGGGCTGCCCCCTCCCAGCTGCACTGAACTGATGCAGGGGACGCGTGGGGTCAGGGGCTCCGCTCAGCATCCCTAAGCCGGGGGAGTCCTCCGGAAAGGCATCGCGACTAACCTGGTTAGCAGATGGAGACACTGAGGCAGAAGGTTGCTACTAAAACATGCCCTGGGCCGCGCAGCTAGCTTGGTACCCCTGACTGAGTTCTGGCCATCCCTGGAGTTGGCCGGCGGGCCGGGGGGGTGGTTGCGGGCAACGGAGGGGCACGTTAGAGCCCCCCGGAGACTGGCCTGAGGGGGGAGGGGCTGGGCTGATGGGATCAGGCTCACGAGGGACCAGGGGGCCTTGCCATCCATGTCCGTGTGGCCCTTGACTCAGACCCACCCACCAGCCTCTCTTCAGCTAAGAAAAAGAGACGGGATGACGACATCCCCGAGCACGCCACAGGCTGCGCCCGCAGCGAGGGCTTCTACACCATCGATAAGAAGGACAAGATCAGATACCTCAACAACACCCGCGCCAGCACAGACGAGCCCCCCACGGACACCCAGGTACTGCCGTCGGGGGCTTGGGCAGCGGGTGGGGGGGTCACGGAGCCAGAGGGGCCGGCACACAGAGGGTGTCACTGGCCTGGTGGCTCAGATGGGGGAAGGGCGGGGAGGGGTGGGCAGTGGAGAGCCTCTGAAGAGTTTTCGTCAGGATTGTGAGCAGAGTTGAGCTGCATTTCCAGAAGGTTCGTTCGTTCCTCTTTTAAACTAAGCGGGCATCTCTGGAGTACTTGCAGTGTTCTAGGCACTGTTCTGGAGCCACAGCCGGGAACAGAACAAAACCTTCCCCCCCGCCCCCGCCCCCAACGGAACTTACATTTTAACGGGGGAGAGGAAATAAGTGAACAAGCAGGATGTCCGGCGGAGAAAACGCTGTGGAGAAAACGGGGCCGGCGGGGAGGTTAGGGATTGGCAGGTCAGGGTCAGAGAAGATGACATTGGAGCCAGACGTGAATGGAAGTAAAGAAACGAGCCGTGTGGGTAACCGGGAGAGGCTGCAGAGAAGCAGGCAAAGGCTTCAGTAAAAAGTGAAAGCGGAGAGTTGCTCACTAAGTGCCATAGGTCCCACACGGTGTGAGCGCCCTGTGCGGAGGCCTGAGGCCGGGAGGAACGTGGCCGGTGGCACAGGAAAGGCTGGCTGTAGCCAAGGAGGCAGAGACCAGGCCCTGGAAGGGGGCCTGAGGCTACGCTGACGAGGGTGGACTCGTCCTCTGTGTATGAGAGCGAGCCGCAGAGCATTTTGAGAGGGACGAGGGTGACCTGGTTCAGCCTGTGACTGTCAGAGCTCACACGGCTGCTGTGTAGAGGGTTGACCGCAGGGGTCCAGAGGGGAGGCTGCAATGCCGTTGCTGCGGTTTCCAACCCAGGCGTGCAGGTAGGTTGGACCTGCGTGGCTGTGAGGAAAAGAATGGATGCTCCTGAAAGAGCAGCGGGAATGTTAGGGGGTCAGGAAGTTGCATGGGGGCTGGATTGGGTGTGAGAGGCAAGGGAGTTGGGTGGGTCTGGCTCGGGGAGGGGAGCGGCCTGCTAGGGAGCTGGACGCCGGCCAGGCAGGAGGGAGACGGCACCGCCCCTTGGGGACAGCTTGAGTTCGGGGCAGGTAGATGCGTGGATGCCTTAGAAACTCGGGGAGGGGGACTTCAGGCCAGGGACCAAAATTTCGGCCTCCTCAGGATGGAGATGTTAACAGGAGGTCCCAGCAGGGACGCTCGCGCATGTGGGGAGGAGGGAGGCCAAGGGAAGGAAGGGATTGGGCGGTGCTGGGGAAGACACTCTGATCTTGAATGCGTGGGGAGCGCGAGGGGCCTTGGTGAGAGCCAGGGGGTGGGCTAAGCAGGCACCCCGTCACCTTCCGTCGGAGAAATGGAGGGGCTCCCAGCTCTTGTGGCTGAGACTGGAATGGATGGCAAGAGTAAAGGGCAATTTATGTCATTACCTTGAAAGCTGGGGGGGGCTTCAGCACGTGCAGATTCTGGCAGGAAGGAAAGGTGGCAGTTAGGGTCAGGACAGGTGAGGCCAGAGCAAGGAAGTTGGGGCAACAGGGACCCGGAGCTTAGGGCACTGGGGCTGGAGGGCCGGCCCCGCCGGGCACCGCGCCCCTCACCTGTCGCCCGCCCCCTCGCAGGGCATGAGCATCCCGGCGCAGCCGCACGCCTCCACCCGGGCCGGCTCGGAGCGGCGCTCAGAGCAGCGCCGCCTGTTGTCCTCCTTCACTGGCAGCTGTGACAGCGACCTGCTCAAGTTCAACCAGCTCAAGGTGAGGCCGGGCTTGCCGACCTGGGCAGCCGCAGCGGCTCGGGACCCGAGACCAGGGCGCTCATGCCTCCTCCCCTTCCCTCCCTCAGTTCCGGAAGAAAAAGCTCAAATTCTGCAAGAGCCACATTCACGACTGGGGCCTGTTCGCCATGGAGCCCATCGCGGCCGACGAGATGGTCATCGAGTACGTGGGCCAGAACATCCGCCAGGTAGGCGCCGCCCTGCGGCCGGCGTTGGGGTGGGAATGGGACTGGCCCGGCCCGGACTGAGTGGAGCCTTCTCCTGGCCAGGTGATCGCGGACATGCGGGAGAAGCGCTATGAAGACGAGGGCATTGGGAGCAGCTACATGTTCCGGGTGGACCACGACACGATCATCGATGCCACCAAGTGCGGCAACTTTGCTCGCTTCATCAACCACAGCTGCAACGTGAGTGCCTGCAGGGGTCACCGCGGCTCCGGCCGCTGTGCAGGGGGCGGGCGGCGGGGGCCGACGCCCACAGGGGGGCTGTCCCTGCGGAGCCTCAGTGTTCCCATCGCTGTGATGGGTAGAACGAGACTGAACGTGCTAGGGAAGGGCGCGTTCAGCTGGTAATTACTGAGTGCCTTCTGCGCCTCAGTGGGTCACGCTCCGGGGCATGCGGGGAAAGCTCTGTGTCCACACTGTCCTCAGTTGCAGTACTCGTCACGTGTGCGGTTGAGCACTGAACTGTGGTCAGTGTGCCTGAGGAACTGAGTTTTTCATTTAATTTTAATTAATTCAAACTGAAAGACTCACCGGCAGCTAGTTAGACAGCCGGAGCGGACAGCGCAGGTCTGGGGTGGATCACGGGTATCGTTGATAAAGAGGGGCGAGTCTCACCCTGAACACAAGCGCAGGGAGCTGGGCGCAGAGGCAGGCCGGTTCCGGGCGAACCTCCCCAGCGCTGGTTTCGCGTCTTGACGTCGCTGCTTAGCGAGCGGCCATGTCGCCGCGTCCTAATCTGCGAAACAGAAATGGTATCAGTTCCTCCTTGCAGGTTGTTGGGAGGACCCAGTGGGTTCCTGCAGCGGGTGCTTTGAGTGCGCCCGCCCTTGTGGCTGTCACTTGATCAGTGTCTGGGCCGACAGGGCCTTCTCTGGGACGCTCTGTGAGCTCCGCGGGATCGGGGGCAGCGCCGAGGCCAGCGCTCTGCTCAGAGGCCCCAGGACAGGGAGGGAGGACGCCCGCGGGAGGGTCAGCAAGGGGGGCAGCGGGGATGGAGCGGGGTCCAGAGGGCGGGGTGAGGGCAGGAGGGTGGCAGGGTTGGGGTGGCCCAGTCACCCAGCCTCGCAGGCAGAGCTGAGCAGTCTCTCCCGAGGGCCGAGGCAGGCCACCCCGGCAGGTCTGAGCCATGGAGGGAAGCACCGGTCGTCCCCTCCGGACCATCTCCTTGGCTGCCGGGTCAGGAGCAGGTTTTCTCAGAGCGAGAGCCCAGGAGGCAGAGGCAGCCCAGGCGGCAGGTGGAGGCCTGGCTGTGCTGCTGGCAGCGGGCAGAAAGCCGTGACCAGAACCAAGAAGGCTTTCGGTGGAGATAGACCCCACTGGGTGTGGCCTGTGGCCGGAGCCAGGTCTCCCACCCTGGGGGACGGACGAGGCGTGGGGGCCTGGGTGCGTGGTACAGTGCCCCCCAGAGCTTAGGTTTGAGATGGCGGAGCCAAAGATTTAGGTTTGTCTCCTGGAGCTGCCAAAGGCACGCACGGGGCCCCAGCAGGATTTCTGGGCCGGGAGCAGGGACCTGCGAACTTTTTCTGCAGTCAGTCAGTATTTTTGGCTTTTGTGCCCAGACCGTGTCCTTAGCCACTGCTTAACGGCCATTGTAACAAAAGGAGCCCAGACAATATGAATAGGTTTGGCTGTGTACCAATAAAACTTTATTTGTAGAAACAGGCAGCTGGGGGCTGGCGTTTGCTGACCCCTTCGCTACAGCACAGAGGCAAGACTCAGGCTGCAAACACACGTTTGCGAGTCACCTGCAATGTAACTGGGAATGGAAGCCCTGGGAGGGAAATGAGTAACATTACCACTGCCGTCGTCACTACTTACTATCAGAGGCGAGGGGTCGCGGTCATCCTGTGGGAGAGCAGAGGCCAAGAGCAGGCCGCGCTGGGCAGGGGGATCGCGTCGCAAGCACGGGGCTCCGTTGCAGGTCCTTGGTCAGCGGCGGGGGCGCTGGGGGGAGTCCTGGGAGTCATCCGCTCAGCGTGTTCCCCCCACTCCCCGGCCTGCAGCCCAACTGCTACGCCAAGGTGATCACGGTGGAGTCGCAGAAGAAGATCGTCATCTACTCCAAACAGCACATCAGCGTCAACGAGGAGATCACCTACGACTATAAGTTCCCCATCGAAGACGTCAAGATCCCCTGTCTCTGCAGCTCCGAGAACTGCCGGGGGACGCTCAACTAGGCGCGGCAGCCAGCAGAAGGACGTCAGCTGTCGTCGGGGCTCCCAGCGCGGACCCCTGAGGCCCCGGGGCCTGGCCCCACCTCCCACCCCCATTTCAGGTGCTGTCCTCTACCCAGTGGCCGTGTCAGGGCCTGGCGCCCCCAACACTACCCCCAGGACCCCGGCTCCAGCCCCTCAGAGGGAAAGGGCTTCTCTGTCTGTCCGCCTGTGTCTCATCGTTTCTCAAAGTGCTCCCGTGAGGATCTGTGTTCGACTCCAACATGAACTTCTCTGTTCCTGTGTCACTCTCCCTGGCTCTCCATCTCTCTCTCTCTCCGTCTTTTCTCTTTCCCGTCGTTTTCGTCAGCCTCTTTCCATGAATGCTGCTACGTTGTTTTGTCTTCCCTTTATTTTCTTCCTTGTCATAAGAAGACATTTTAACCGTTGAAATGTGAAGGCAGAATCAGAGGGCGGGGGCCCCTGGTGGAGGCTGCAGAGCCCGCGGTTCGATGGCGTGTCGGCCGGCGGTCTGGAGGCCCCCGGGGCCAGGGTGCTGGGCCAGGTGCTGCAGGGAGGAGGAGGGTCCGGCCCGGTGGCTTTGACCTCAGAACACTACGGAAGGCCCTTGCCTCTGCCAGTGGACTCAGTGAGAAGACCCTCCTACAGGCCCCCCGCCCCCAGTCTGTTCTTCCCCCAGCAGCCTGAGGGGGGGCCATTTCCCCTCACGGACCCTGGTGGAGCCCCCCGGCCGGTCCCAGGCAGGACTCTTCCCCTCTGGGCTCTCTCTGCCACCTCGCGCCCCTCCCCCCCCATCTTGGGTTCAATGTTTACTTTCTCATTCGAATGCCAGCAACGAGGGAGCCTCCAGGAGGTCCCAGCGGGGGCAGGCGGGGCACTGGGAAGGGTCACATCTGCGCCCCCCTGTCCGCCCCTTCACAGGCCAGAGGAGGGCCCCCCCGGCAGGCGGGGCCTCCAGTCCCACCACTACGGGTGTCCGACCGTGAATGCGTGTGGCATTGTTCGTTCGTAAGCTTCACCTGCTCGCCCCTGGCCCACACCCCCACCCACCTTGCCAGCAGCCCCCTCACCCCAAGATGTCAGAAGCATATTTATTTTTGGAGTGCGAAGATTATTTCTCCCAGAGAAAGAAAAACCTTGGAGAAGATTTTAAAACTCGAATCTAAATCTGACAGGTTTTTGGTTTTGTTTTTTTTTTTAAACCCTTTTTACCCCCTTCCCATCATCCTCTTCAGGGTTTATTTCCGTATATTTTTGTGTGTGCGTGTGCGTGTATAAAATCAAACCGAAGGGGGGAAATCAGTTTTTGAAGTTCAGAACCAACTTCTGTACATAGGCTTCGGTAAAGGACTTTTTCTCGGGAACATTGTTTCTTGTAGAAACATGTGGGAAGACTTTTTTGCTCATTTCTTTGTACTTCCAAAAACACCACACGAGTCCCTGCACCCCAGAAAGCAGAGCAGGCGTGTAAATAATTTATGGAAAGTGACTGTTGTGACCAGGACTCATCCTCGCCAAGACGGGAGCCTCCCGGCGGGGCCGCCCCGCCCTGCGGCGCGCAGGCCGGGCCTCTGGTATCTCAGCTTGTGTCAAGCTTGTTATCATGTAAATTCTGTACAAAGAATTGTTATTTTTCTCTCTCTCTTTTTTTTTTTTTTTTTTTTTGTCGTTGGTGGTTTTGTTGTGTTTTTTTTTTTTTCCCCAGTTTCTTCACCCCACGCCCTCTCTGTTTGAGACTGCCCGCCGTTTCAAGGTCAATGAAATTGGTGGCATTAAGACACAGAGGGGGGACCTGGGCATAGCAGCGACCTTCTCTCCCATTTGCGGTTTTCTGCCTAATTGTGCAACTGAGGAAATATTTATTTTTCACATGAGGAAATGTGTAGTGTGTAGAGACGGCTGATTTAAGTTACCTGTACAGTCCCCAAGGGGCTGTCTCCGTTCTGTCCCCACCCCCTACAGAAGATGTGGAGGTGGGGACCCCCGGGCCGGGCCTGCCTCAGCCCTCGCCTTGCCCAGCCAGGGAGGGACCAGGCCCGCGTCCCCAGGAACCCCCGCCTCCCCTGAATGGTTTGCCGTATCCAGAAATGTGTTGGCTCATTTTTCTTTCAATGTCTTCATTTTCATTGGACGAATTTTTGCTTTGGAAGAGTTGGGGGGTTCTGCTTTTTTTTTCCCTTGTCCCGCCCTTTTTCCTCCCTTTTCCCGCAAAGAAGAGAGCCCGTGAGTTTTAGGGATGTCTGTGCATATAGGCTCTATCACCCGTATGGAACTTGTTTTGAAGAGAAGTGTTTCCGTTGTGGGTGTGTCTGGCTGTAAATATTTGTTCATATTTTTGTGAATTCAATACTATGTACCATTGTATTATAGTAACTTTTATAAAGCAAACCATAAATATACTGACTTTTCTTACAGATACGCCGTCTCTCTTGCTCTCCTCTCTCTCCCTCTCCCTCTTTTTTCTCTCTGTCCGGGGCACACCCTTCTGGCGTGGGGGTGGGCTGGCGGTGCCGGGGTGCAGGGAGCTAGGTGGGGTGGGTTCCGCTCAGACCGCCCGATCTTAAACTCTGAGCCTCTAGGTGAATTCTGAGAACTAGGCCAAGTGATAGTCAGACTAGACCTCGCACGGCTTTTTTAAAGCTTTCCTTCTAGAACCTTCCCTAAAACCTTAGGTACCTCACACTGCCCATAATCTGCCGCTAAGGAAACGGAATCCAATACCCTGTTGGCATCCCTAGAAGAACTATACAACGTCAAACATTTAAGGAGAAGGTGCTCTTGTTGGCATTTGAGGGAGGAGGGGGCTGATAAAATAGGCTGAGAAGAATTAAATGTGTCTAGTGTTTGTGGTGTTCCAGGTAAGTGTCAGCTCTGCCTGGCCCGGGGGTCCACTGACTGAGGGGCCACTGAGGGACCCCAGAGGGTCCGTTAGGCCATGTCCACTCATCCCCGAGAGGGACAGACTCAAAACCTCAGCAAGAAGCAGCGTGACTGAAAAGATGACGCATCTCGCCTTACTACAGTAATGCAAATGTTCAGAAGACTGTTTTCCCTGTCACGTGGCAAATGTCACATAGTTGGAAAACACTCCCTGTCGGCAAGCATGGGGTGGGGGCGGAGGGGGCACTCACGCACTGTTACTAGTGGAAGCATCCGTCGCTCTAACCTTTAGGAGGAGAAATTTGATACTAACAGCATTTAAAATGCGCACAAACTCCTGGCCCCACCATTCCAGCGTCAGGAACTGAGCCCGAGAGGCACCAGCAGGCTGCGCCAGGATGTTCTCGGCAGCCTCACCCGGAGCGAAGGAACGAAGGCTGGGCAGGCCGTCCACGAGCGGTGGGCTGGCGCCGGGAACTCTGCGTCCGGACCGGCGAAACCTGCTGGGGCGGGGTCGGAACAGAAAGCGCGCCGGGGGGCGAGGCCAGGCCAGGACAGAAGACGCAGCTCCTGGCTGTTCATTCAGCTGGTGCTTATTAGGGGCCTGCTCTGTGCTGGACACTCCCCTAGGTGCTGGGGGGTTCAGGGGTGGAGAAAACCCACTCCCGTCTTCTTGGTGGCTGTGTTCTTGTGGGTGAGCCAGGCGAACACGGAGAATAAATGCTACAGTCAGGAGAAAAATCGCCATGAGAAGAGGGTGTCGGTGGGCGGGGAGTGACATTTTAAAAAGGGTGATAAGGGAAGTCCACTTCACCAACGGGCACAGAGGCCAGGAAATGAGGGTTCCTTCCCTCATTGCGGGCACCTTGGGGAAGGGCACTCCAGGCAGAAGGAGCCGTAGAGCCAGGGCCCTGAGGGGGACCCCGCCTGCTGTGCAGAGCGCCCGCAGGCAGCCTGCAAGGCCGCAGCCGGAATGAGGCCCGGAAGGCACTGGGGGGCCACGGGGGAGGCGGGCACTGAAGGGCCTTGCAGGCTGCGTGAGGACAACCCAGGGCATCTGGCCTGAGGCCCACGCGGGGAACACGCGTACAAATTTGAGTTTCCTTCATCTTCCCTCTTGAACCTGCTCCTCCTGCTGTATTTTCTACCTCGGTCCGTGGCGTTTTTTCTCTCTCATCCTCCCCCTGTCCCCACGGTGCTGCCACTGGTCACCGAAGCGCAAAGTGCCACCAATCCTGGGCTTTTCCTTTCCTCTCAGCTACCATGTCTGACGGTTCTCTTCCCTTATTCTTCAAATCGTCCGCCTCTCGCTTTGCCCCTCTGACCCACAGGATAAGCCGTTTCCTCACTGGTTCTGTTGTGGGGACCGAACAGGAAGCCCCAGTCAAGACACCTGCACACACAGGGTGGACCAGGTTGGCACGAGGAGAGGGAGGTGCCAGGTAGACTTGGGCAAAGCCTCTCACTTAGGCCCCTCTCCAAGAATAAGAGCAAAAGCGTGGTGCTGATACTGTGCCAGCCAGTTTCAAACATCGTTGATGTTCAACTCTCAGCAGTGCTGGGAGGCAGCTATTATTTCACCCCCACTTAACAGATGAGGAAGACCAGGGCACAGAGTGGTTAAGTAACTTGCCCAAGGTCACACAGCAAACAAGTGGATGATCTGGGGCAAGAACCCAGGCACTCTGGTTCCCTAGCCTGGGCTCAGCTAATACGGGTCCGCTTGCCCAGTAACTTGCCCAGTCCCATCTAAAGAGGGACCAAATGCTTGGTAGCCCCCGAGTCCTGCTGCATAGGGAGACAAGCCCAGAATTGCATGGTGGTACCAAAAAGAACTGGATTCCTACCATTTGATGGTGAAATATCCCAACTTTCTGAAAGGTTGACTCAAATTTGTTTAAAATCATGCAGGTAAAATACATCTGTGAGACAGATTTGGCTCATGGGCCACTAGTTTGCCACCTCCTGGGTTATGGAATTTCCCTTTTTTGCATAAGTCATGAAAAAATAGAGGGAGGGTATTTTTATTTTCTTTTTTAATTTTTATTCATTCATTTTTAGAGAGAGGGGAAGGGAGAGAGAAAGAGAGGGAGAGAGAGAGACATCAATTTGTGGTTTGCCTCTCGCACACCCCCAACCAGAGACCTGGCCCACAACCCAGGCATCCTTCCCTCCTTTCTTGAAACATTCTCACCTAAAGATATGTTTTATTGATTTTAGAGATGGAAAGGGAGAGAGAGAGAGAGAGAGAGAAAGAGAGAGAGCGCGCTAAAGAAAGAGAAACATCAATGTAACAGAAACATTGATCAGTTGCTTTCCTGTACACACCCTGGCTGGGGATCAAACCCGAAACCTTTTGGTGTACCCGACAACACTCCAACCAAAGAAACTCCCTGGCCAGGGCCAACTTGGATCCACCTGCTCCCCTTCTGAGTTGAGGCATCCTCAGGGAGGCTAGTAAACATGACACACAGGAGGCAGGAGAGACCCAATTTGCCCCCACCTCCTCTTGTGCCGATTTGAAGAGCAGTTGCCTTCCAGGGCTTTTAGGACGAGCAGCCCCCTCCCCTCTGTGTCATTCTTTTGCGAGGTCCGCTCTCACGGGAGTGTGAACTAGCCAGGCTATGGGGACCAGGGTGGCACTGCCGTGCTGGTGGCTCAGATCCCTCCTCTCCATTGGACCTCTCTTGGACCAGGAACCACGCCCCAAGGTTGCAGAGCAAGGACGCTTCCCCACAGTCCCTTTGCCAACACCCTCCCTTCTTTTTGCCCAGAAGTCTGGGTTCAGGGGAGCAAAATTGGGGATGGCTCATCTTTAGAGACCTTAAGGCCACCAGACAGGATGCTGCCAAGCGCAATTACACCATAAGGCCTTTACTCTTGCTGTCCCTTCGTCCTGGGATGCTCTTTTTCCAGATTTTCCCTCTCTGGCTCCCAAATGTCCCCTCCCCAGAGAGGCCTTCCCTCGATGAAAATGAGTGCCCCCTCCCAGCCTCACCTCCACGCAATCTCATCACCCGCTTCATTTTCTTAATAGCATTTACCACTCCTCGAAGCGATAGTTTGTCTTCCCCTCTAGAGTGTAAGGCCTCTGTACCCCTCGGTTCCAGAATTCCCCCCGACTGGCGCTGTCCCATTAGCAAGGCGCTTGCACCCGGCTTCTCGGCCGCCGCGGTGCCCCAGCCCCCTAACGCGGACGCCTCTGCAGCGCTACCGCCCCCTGGCTGCCAAACGGCGTCATCGCTTCGGCTCCGCACAGACACCCAGACAGCGCAAGAGATCCCGGCGTGCTTTATTCCGGAGGAGGGCGGGGTCAGGAAGTGGGCGGGACTTTGGGTGCTGGACCGGCTGGTGGGCGGGGTCTAAAGGGAAAGGCCGGTAAGAAGAACTGGCTCTTCGAGCCGGGGCGGGGGCGTGTTCCATAACTAGGGGGCGTGGCCTGCCGTGCTCCAGCAGGTGGGCGGGGCCTCGGCTGGGCTTGGAGGACTCACAGAGCCTACGTGCCTCGCCACACCCCGTTTATCTCCATGTCTGTGAGGTTGCCCCGCACGGCCTGCTCCTCCTCGAAAGCCTTGAACAGTGCGTTGAAGTTGCCAGCTCCAAAACCCTGCAGCAGGAGAGAGGAGGTGAGCTGCAGGCCCAGAAAGCCAACCGGGCTAACTAACCTGCATGACTTGCTGGGGCCCGGGGGCATCTACCTGGTGGTTGTGGCGCTGGATGACTTCCAGGAAGAGCGTGGGCCGGTCCTGCATGGGCTTGGTGAAGATCTGCAGGAGGTAGCCTTTCTCATCGTAGTCCACCAGGATTTTCAGCTCCTACGTGAGAAACAGGGGTCCAGGTTGAGGGAGGCTGACACGTTTCTCTAACCTGGCACCGTGGCATCTTTACAAAGTCCATAGGAAGGGGCTCCTGCACCCCCTCAGCCAAGAAAACACCCCTTTCTCCGGCAGTTCCAGACACCTCAGAATAGATCCCCAAGTTGTGCCGTTACCACGGCCCGGCTCACTCCTGGGTAAGCCACCATCACGGCTGACCCGGACCGCCCTTGTAGCTTCCGGAGGTCTCCCTGCTTCTGCTCTTGCCTTATTATGATCCATCTTCCCCACAGACAGAGCGGGGCCTTTTAAAAATCAGATCATGCCTTTCCCTGCTCAAAACTATCCAGTGGAAATGGGAACACTCCCAGGTTGCAAGTGGGAATGTAAAATGGTATAGCGGCTGTGGAACACCATCTGGCAGGTCCTCAAAAGGTTAAACATAGAGCTACTGTATGACCCAGTGATTCCACGCCTAAGTATATACCCAAGAGAATTAAAATATATGGCAGCACAAAAACTTGTACACAAACTATCATAGCATTATTTTATAATAGCCAAAAAATAGAAACAACCCAAATGTTCATCAGCTAATGAATATGTGAGCAAAATGTGGCCCATTCACGCAATGGAACATGACTCGGCCATGAAAAGGAAATGAAGCACTGACGCCTGCCACCACATGGATGGGCCTTG